ATTTGGCCCAGACGCGGACAAATGGGGCGGATGGGAGCGAGAGCGAAGTCTTTTGGTGAATTTTCTTCTCTTCCACTCTCACGACACGCGAGCTCCATCTTCCCACCATTGAACAACACTTCCAACCATGGTGTGTTCATCCTCGTCTCTGCACGAGAGGACGTTGTCCCTCGACGGGTTGAAGCGCATGCCGTCGTACCAGTCTGAGCGCCGGTACCCGCTCCGCACGCCGAGCATGCGCCTCATGAGGCCAGGGTCGTCGTTGAGGAGGTCATTGGGGCCGATGCGCGCAAGGGATCCTTTATAAGTTGCACTTCTATCAGCCTCAAGTTCATGTGCGCCTGCGGTCTGGAAAACCTTCAAGTAGACCATTATCTGTCTCGAAAGCGATTTCCCCCCCACATTGTACGACTCGGCGAGCACTCGAGCACCATATTGGTAAAACAGAGACAAAGTCACTCACCATATTTCTTCGTCACGTTGTAGAACTCGAGATGACCCCGAGATCCCGTCACGGTCTTGAGGAGCCAGGACTTGGATACAGCTGCCAGAGGAGGACCTTTAAAGTACCGCAGTCGCCGGTACTGTCTCGCCGTCTCGTAGACTCGGAACAGCACAAAGATAACAAACAAGGTAGCCAGAAGAGTCCAGGCAGGATGCCGATCCCAGTGATTGTAGAACGAACCAATGAACAGAGGGCTCCTGGCTATATCTGGGCCCATTCTGAAGGGTGAATGGGATGATTATACGTCAAAGTATGTTTTGCTGATGATGACGTACATAAGAATTGTAGAATGTAAAGTATGAAGAAGACGGGAAAAATCATGTTTCTCCAAAGGCTACAAGACAAGAATCACTTGTCAAAGGGGAAAGGAGTGCGGGGAGCGGAAATGATGGAGCAACGGATGGCAGCGTTCGTTGGTCCTGTTGGTTCTCACATTAACCCACTTGGCAAGTCTCCCTCCCTCCACTGGAGCGGCGGGATATGATATCCCTCGCCCTATGACTGGACCAGTCTGTTGGAAAGTTTGCTTGCACCCATGGTCGAGAAAACTTGTAATTATTGGAAAATGGCTTGAGAAAAGCAATGTGTGCTGTCGTCTTGATACGGGGCGGAGAGCCGACCTGAAAAATGGCATCGAGGTTCAGCCTGCATTTCCAGAGTACGTGCAGATGATGCCATACGGTCATCTGCGAGAATTAATTGGCCTACAAATCGGATCTTGTATGCACCTCATCCTTAGGTCTGACAGGCTCGGCAGTTGGTGGTACCTCATCTTACTATATCTGGCATTTACGCCTGAATAGAAGGGTTCTCGGAAATCGATCTATTTATCGATTTGAATTGACCATAGGGATTTAAGAGAATTTTGGGATATACATGTATACGTACGTTGGGGAGTGTATCTGCTACGGCAGTCGATCAGGACTGGCGGCCGCGATAAGTTCAACATTTTGAAGCTTTGTCTGAACGGGTTTGTCTCTAAAGACTGACCTATATTCGTTCACTGAAACTAGTCCTATCAGTCACCGGGAGCTCTTTGAATTGCAAACGCTAATCTTAATCCCATACCACTTGGTCGAAGACGTTTGTCAAGAAGGGAGGCAGAAACCAGACCTGGCCATATACATCACGCATTCTTCCACTTGAGATCCACGAGTCAAATTCCAGTCCATTTCACAGTGGTAAACTTCCTACTCAACCCGACCTTGTGTAAGTATCAGACATAGATCACGACTTCTTGATGGATGTGCAGCCTTAGAAGAGGTTCCTGCCCGGCCGCTAGAAGAATAGCTTGCAGACGGAGCGGCCCCACGCGGCGCCCCGAGCTAAACGAGCGGCGTGTACTTCAAGACGCCAATTTTCGGACTTTGCAGTGGTCAAGTCTCAGAACCATCTAATGACAATCCAAGCATTATCCCACAGAGAGGGAGAGGGCGCAGATCCAAAGCAACGCGGTCTGTCTGCATGCTAGCCTCCCGTCCAAGAGTGGCCCGGCCGGGAGCATCCCAGTAACTCCGGGGTAGCAGCCGCGATGCCAGCCCAATCTCACTTCCATCCCAACTCTGACCGCAGCCGGGTGTTGCGTCTCATTCTTCCCCCTTTCCCCGAAACCTTGCGCGGGCATACTGGCAATAAAACAGCGAATCGGAATATCGCACTGGGGTTCCCCGTCACTTTTCAGGAAAAAATCGTCCAAAGTCTTTTCGGTAGATCGTGCTTCAACCGCGAGCATACATGGTGTGTTACTTTGACGGCGTTCAAGCCCCATGAACTGCGTCCGTCTACGGGTAGCACAGGTTGTTTTTGTTGGCGACAACATTTGAGCCCTTCTCACCATGCATACGCGGTCGGGTTCCGGTCTTGAGGGGCTGGGTAAAGATTGTTTCTGGGCAAGGAATACCACGAGCGGCAGAGTGGTGTTTTCAGTCCACAACAAATGCAAGTACGGTTCTCAACAAACCGACCTCTTACTACAACCTCAAACAATGTCCAGCTTGCTCGTCTAGACATGAAAACAGCGCAAGCTTACTACAATCCACTGGCTTGTAACCGAGATTCCATCGGCGGCGGTCGCAGCTCTGAAGAAACGTCAAACTGGGAGCAGTATGGAATACTTTTGTCTTGTAACGCCGCAGAACGGCGAGACATGCCGAGGAGATATCTCGTTTGCGACATGGAATTCTGTAACGGCGGAATGCTGCCGTACATAATTCTTAAGACCTTACAGTGAGACCACCACTGGGCTATAGCTTCGGGTCAATCTGAGATGAATACGAACACACAAGAGATTACTAGCTCTGACAACAACAAGTGAGGCAGAACTCAGCTCACGGACTTTTTACATGCTAGAGGTGGTCTGGCCTTGGCGAAGGCTTTCTGACGCAAAATTGGCGGTAAGATGAAGAGCTGAGATTATATGGCCCAGGTGAGACATTGCTGCAAGGTGGGGTCGAATGAGGATTCGGGGCGCGGCGCTGTATGCTTTGTGGAAACGCGGGGAACGGGAGTCTAAAGTGCGGGCGTTAGCTACCCGTAGCGGACAGCTGAAGTATTGATATTTGGTGACGAGCAAACACAGACCAAAAGTAACGGAGGCGCCAATCATATGGTGATGTATCTGTGTACGCCGCTTTTGGAAGCAGGTCTCGTGTCCGAGGTCAAGGTAGCCTGGCAGCGTCGGATGGGCGCTGAGCCGTGACCACAGCAGGCAACTGTGCGCCAGTCAGCTACTTGAGACCAAAGCGTAGCTGCACACCGCAACTCGGTATGACAACAAGGAATTCCTAGTGGTCAGGTAAGCTGCATTTGGGGACGGCAAGATGCAACAGGAGTGTGGTGAGCATTTCGTACTCTGGACGTCAATCCCCCATCCGAGCGTATAGTAGCGGAAGCTTGGGCCGAGGCCGACAGGCTAAAACAGACCATTCGCCTCGAAGCGCGTAGACACCCGGTAACACAAACACGCTGGACGAGTAGAGACGGTCGTGGTCAACACCCCTGTTGCGCCGGCTTGTGTTCCCCGAGGATGGGGGCGGCAGGACGATAGGCCAGCCATGACAACTGGCATGGGAAGTGAAATGAGGTATTGATGGATGGCGGCCTGTGTTCAAGGGTAAGCGGCGCCATGACGCTAATGGCCTTGAATTTTCCCGTCCAGATCAGGGGAACGACGATGGGTGTGCATGTTTTGGGGCACAATAGAAACGCCGGGAAGGCGTGAGAAATCCTGTTGACAGCTGGAGCCTGGAGGCAACGTGGCAGAAAGAGGTGAGGTTGGACCAGAACCTTTTGGGGCCGTGAGTCAGGAGTTAGGACGCAAGCCGTATGTAGAGGCGAAGGAGGGTATTTACGTCGTTTGCGGAAACTTGGGAAGCTTGATACGAGCGGCCTGGTTGATTGCACGACGTGGGCTTGCTGACAATCCGCAGCATTGTTGATGAGGCTGCAGGAGACGTGTAAGTGGTAGGACGCCACACCCTACCCTATCCTGATTGCTAAGATGCCTTTTCTAGTCTCGGTGTCTGCGTGCCACTATGTACTCGTACTCCATTCTTAGGAGTAGCTACGCTCCGTTGGCCTCCAAGCCCCTGTCTCGCAAGACCGAGAGTCCAAAACGAGTGTCGGATTGGGGGTCACCCAAGAGTGCCGTCGCAGGACGGGAAGGTGAAGTGTCAAGGTGTGTGGGTTGTAGCATGTCGTTTCCAGGCCTAGTCCACCGTCTACCTCGTGGCCGAGATGTGTTTGGGGGAACGAGGTGGTGTGAAGCTGCTGTGTGTTATGTGTTGTCTGCTATGTGGTGTGTACAATAGTAGGGGGAACCTGGAAGTTCCCTGCCCGTGGCTCCGTCCCCAGAGTTTGGGGAATGCAGGAAGTTGGGGGTTCCCTTACTTTGGCGGTCTTCTCCGCAAAATGTAAGAGAGACCCCACATTCCCCTTACGTACCTGATTAGTGGAGTCTAGTTACCTGCCTTGGTCCACTTCAGGCAAGGAGGTTGTGGGAGGGAAGTTCCAGATTCGATTGAAGAGAAAAATTCAATAAAAATGAGAAAATGCTCTGTGCCTCTCTATCCCATCCCCATGGACCATTCTAACGTCTAAGAGAACGGACGAGAAAAGCCGGCGTAAGGAGGTATGGCGATCCGGCGCGTGAGCCGAATGTCAGATAGAGGGCAGCTACCTATGTTGTACGTAGGTACTCCCCCATGGGCTCAAAAAGACACATGGCCTTGCTATCCCCGTCTCCCCGTCGGCAAGCATTACCTTGCCTCTGGGAATAATGGCCGACTCTGTGACATTTGGAGGATTTTTGTCAATTGTCCCCATTCCCTCTGCAATCAAATAGAGGCTTTTGAAACTAGTCCAAGTTGTTCTATCACTTCCAAATTCGGTTTGGAGGTGAGTTCCTAAGGCTCGTCACCGAGATAAGGTCTATCCCTCGGTCCCATCTTTTGACGATCTCAAGTGAAAATGGGTTAGAAGGATGCCGCCTTGCCAATTTGACTGGAATTCAGCAACGCAAGATGCAAGCTACAGCTCCGTAACCGTCTAGATCGTGCAAAAGGCAAGCGGAGCCTCGGAGGTACTAAGATACCTCACTCCACAAGTCCACATTAATACAGCACTCACTATTAGCACCTCGTCCTCATTGATTGCTAGGTTGAACTTGCCGTACGATTTCCGTCCAATACGTTGGGGGAAAAAAGAAGGTACAACTTCCGACTTCCGGCGGATGGGACGACCTTGAACAGAATTGGAGACTGGACGGAGCCCCATCCCTCCTTGCGCCTTATTCTCATCCATTCGATCCGTTTGGCCCGCAAGTTCCCCCAAAGCGCAAGGTCCTAGGCTGCTGTGGGATTATTCTCGTACTGCGTACCCGCCTGCCGCATAAGCAAGAAAATCCGGGGCCAGAAAAGACGATGAATAGTTACTCGTGCCCGCCCCCACTTTTTTGGGCATTCGGGACTTATCACCCACTAAAGTGGGTGCTTTTTAACCAAACGGCTACGTTAGCTATACGGGCATAATTATTGCGATTTATCTTTATATATTACTACTTCTACTACTTTCTATTATAATACCTAAATTTAATATTGCTAAAGAGGAGCGTATATAAGTAGCTATTATAACTATTTACGAAGACCCGGAGTTATTAATTATAGTAGCGGCTTAGTAATACTCTATTCTATATTAAAAGCTTAGTTAAAGGATTTTTAGTAAATACTTATTAAAAGAGCGTACTAGTTACGGTTATAAGCTTACTTAGGACTAGGAAAAGGCGATTTATAATTATATTAACTATTTAGACCGAATTAACTTACCTATAAGGCGCGAGCTAATCGTTAGTATTATTAATTATTTACTTACCGAGTCGTAGGACTTAGTAAATATTAATAATACTAAGGACCTACTTCCTCCTCTAACTATTAACTCTTAATAAGCTAGTCGATTTATTAAAAAGTATAATTATTTTTTAGTTAAGGAGAAAGTACTAGACGCTAAGCGGTATAAATTTAAAAATAAGAATACTATTAACTTTTATTTTTTTAAGCTAAAAGAGGTTATTAACGAGTATAGGATCTAGCTTTTTAATATATAAAATATAGATAAGACTAAATTCTAAATAGGGGTTAGGAAATTTAGTATAATTATTACGAAAAGAAAAAGGGCCTATTACTTTACCTTTCTAACTAATAAAGAGTCTACTATTATTATAGAAGCTATTTCTATTACTAGAGATTACGTACTAGCCTTTTTAATCCTTAGTAGCTCTATTTATATAGCTAGGTAGTATAATATTAAAGAGCTCGAATTTAATATTATTATAGGAGTCTTACTTACTAATTATATAAATAATATAATAACTCTAAATTAAATTAAGTACTTCGATATATATATAAAGGGTCGAACTAGGGGGGCTAAGAGACTACTATTTATAAATAGGTATAGATCTTATTATATTATTAAGTTTATTAAGTACTATAATAAATATAATATTATCCTATTTAAATTTTTATTATATAATATATATATTCTTTAACCTCTTAATATTATAATCTTTTAGCCCCTTAAGTACTACTACGCTAAGGTACTTAACTTCGTAGTTCGAGAAGGCTATATTAATATTACTAAACTAAAATTCCTCGGCTTTATATAGTCTATTTGTAAAGAGGTATTTAAATATTTTATAATTCTTTTAGTATTTAAAAAGATAGGTATTTACTTATATAATTTATAAATTATACTTAAAAAGATCCGTAATTATAATTATAATTCTTAACTAACTATACTACTTTTTTAAGGGCTAAGTTCTTTACTATTTATTATATTTATAACTATTTAAAAGCTCTATTATATTACTTAGTATTTATAAAAGGATATAAATACCCTTAATAAAGAGATTTAGTACTTAACTAGCGAGGCTTCTTTATTTAAATAGAATCTTAAGTAGTTTATTTATAAAGTACTTATATAAAGCTCTAAGCTCCTCTAAATAAAAAGAGACCTCGGCTTAACTTAACTAGCTTAATAAGTAAGTAAAGCCTATAAATAGGGTAAGAATAGTTAGCTATAAACTAAAGGAATTATTATAATAAAAAATAGTTAACGTATAATTAAATAGAGGTAAGTATTTAAAATTACTAAAGTAATAGCTCTTATTAAAATAATAAATACGAAGATCTGCTTAGTTATTAAAAAAGGGGCTTTTAAAATAAAAAAAAAAGCTAAGAAGATAAGGAATACTAGCTAGTTTTAGCTTATATATATAATTAACGGTTTAGATAATAGGCGGCTATTAAAAAGGGGGTAGTCGAGGCTTGTATATAATGGTATATAATCGACGATTATCTACCCGTTTGGCTAAGGAGGCCGTTTGGCTGAAAAGCACCCACTTTAGTGGGTAATGAGTCCCGAATGCCCAAAAAAGTGGGGGCGGGCACGAGTACCAGCGGATAGAGAGAAAGAAAAGTCGCCGACGGCATGCGACAGCTGGGATGACCCAGACGCGAATGGCGGTAAAACCCGTGGGAGCTCTTGAACAGTACAAAACAAGAAAGGAACAGCCCTGTTCTGTTCGATCCCAGCTTGCCCTGGCTTCCGGCGGCATTCTTTCTCTGTTTCCCCGAACTGATCACCTCTTTATCTGAGGAATTGCACCGACTCCATTATCATACAGGCGGTACCTATTCGCAATTTTTGTATCCCCCGTTGCGGCATGCTCTATGCCTAGAAAACGAAGACGACGGGAAGGATGGGCAGGGAGGAAGACTGCGAAAGAAAGCCCTGCCTCGGCAGAATACATGCTCAAACCCCTTTGATTTCTATTGTCCACCCCGTGTCGCCAGGTACCTTATCTGTAGTTGCCCCCATTTTAGTGGTACTCACTTATTGCGTACTCTTACACCCAACACCCGAACGGTCAGGGTCAGCCCATCCGGCCCCATCGCCGAGCTCACGCAAAGGGGCAAGCAGCCCTGATCCTGGTAGAGGAACATCCACATGGAACATTCCTCCCCTTCCAGACTTCCAAGCTTCCAGCACTCCCCCGTGAAAGCCGGGGATTGTCTTTTGGAGGACCTCCATGGATGATGAGAGCCGGTTTGGGGCTAGCCAGCACAATAAACAGAGGGCAGCACGACAGAAGATTGGACCGTACGACATCACTGTTTAACTCTATCGTTTTATATTACTAAAGGATTACTATAGTACATATAGACGCTACCCTGCCCTCGAATTCCGTACTATTTAACCTTAACCCTTTTTATAAGTTACCTATTCTTTTCTCTATTTTACCCTCTCCCTTATTAAAAGATTACTAAAATCGTAGTTTTAATAGCTTATTAATAAGTTAATATTATTATTTAAAAATAAGTAACTTATTTTTATATATAAGTACTAGGAGTTTTATTATTATAAAAATAATAATAAATATACTAGAGTATTTAAGAGAGCTTTTTAATAAATTTTTAATACTATTTAAAATAATTATCCTCGAGTTATAAAAAAAAGCTAAAGTATTATATTAATACGGCCCTATCCGTTTTATTAATATTAATAATACCCTTTTTAATATAAAATATATTAATAATACTTTATAACTATATTATTATATTTTATAAATTATACTTAATATTAATAAGGATTTTAGTATTATTTATTAAGTATTTTATTAAAGTTATTATTATAGAGTTAGTTTAGTTATTAATATTTTAATAAGTATTTTAACTTAACTTAGAAGCTTTTATAACTCTTAATTAAAAGCTTTTAAAGGACTTATAATTAGACTTTTTACTTATTATAAATAAAGTTATTATAATTAAAATTATAGTACTACTTATAAACCTTAATAATAAGTAGTTAGTAATATAGTTATTTTTCTTTTATAATAAGCTTAAAAAAGTATCTTAATTTAAGTACTAAGTAAGTACTATACTATTTTATTAAAATTATATTCTTATACTTATAATTTAGAAAGAATTAACTTTCTTTAATAATAAGGTACTCAGGACCGTACGACATATTGCTTTTTGACCGACGAGCCTAATGTCCAGAGGCAGCCAGAGGCAGAACACTGTCAGTATGCGTACCTTGCTGTTTCAATAGGGATGCAAAGTATCAACTACCTTACGTGCCTTTTCATAAAGCGCGGGTACGTCAAGAGTCTGCGCGAGCTCCCACAAATGAATGCCCATGGTAATCATAAATAAACTACAGCCAGTCCACTGAGACATGATACTGCCCATTCGTCATGACACAAGCACGACAAGCCCGCCCCAGCCCAAGCACAGGTGCTTCATCGTCTTATACTTTGCCTCATTAGATTGCGACATTGCAAATCGCAAGCCTCGCATGCCAGCTCTCCGCGATCTTCGTTGTGTACCTATCCGTACCTCTCATGCCCCTCTGCCTTTATCATTCTGTCTCAATTCCACGTCCGTCTAACATCGGGTAAGGACTCTCTACTCTACCCTGACAGTCTGCCTTCTGTTTCCGCCAGTCTTTGGAGCCCGTGAGCTGTCAAAGAGCAAACTCTGGTCCATCCCGACTTCCTCGCCATTTTTCTGAACCCTCATCATCCTCTTTCCACCTCTCACTCCTCTCCCTCTCACTCTCACTCTCACCACACCCCCCCTCCCTTCTTCGTCTTGCTCATCTCCCCTTCATCACTGGAACCCCTGACTTTCTTCCCCACGCTTCCGTTGAACTCTCCCGGCAACTGCAACCTTACCCGCGCCTCTTGTCGATTTGCTCTGCCCATAGCCCACCCTTTCGACCGTTCGGTTGGGTCCTTTTTGCTCCCAGGCATTCCACCCACCCTGGTCTTGTTTGCGCACCGACTTGACCAGCCCGGGGGTGGTCGGTCTACTTACGACACGAGGAAAGGAATTGTGAAATCTCTGTTACGGATCGCGCACAAACGCCCGGTCGCACCCTCTGTCGTTGTCTCTCTGCTCTCTGCCTTTTTTCTTCTCTCTCTGTGTGTGCGTGTCTGTCAGCCGATTCTCATTTGGGGCTCTCGGCTTTAAATATTCTGGCATCTGCACTTTCCTTACGCCTCTTGCCCTCCATCTCGTCCACCTACCTTACATACGCCTCCCCCATCTCAAGGATTATCACTCCACTCTACTGTGTCTCGGCACCAGTTCCAGCCTCGACAACGCCTCTCAACAAGCAACCATATCCACAGCTGTCTTTATAATCCCCGTTTCTTCCCCAGATTCTTCCGTACAGAAACAGATCCATCACCATCGGTACGTGGAGCCTGTCGACAACGCAGCAACATCCAGACTCTTTGTCTAACACCTGCGTGATAGGACTTCACCTGTTCATCCCCTCCGGCACACACAATCAAAATGCCTGCCAGCCAGATCCAGATCGCCTCGCCTCTACCTATTTCTCCTCAACGGAGGAATCTGCGCCTGATGACGGACCAGGATCTCTACACAAGTTTGAACGCGACTCTCGCCTCGACCACCCACCGCCCGGTGACGCCTGTACATATGATTCAAGAGAACGACTACAGCGTGCCGGCGCCTCCTCCACCAAGCCCGGTATCATTCGCTACAGACCACTGGCAGTCATCGATCCGCCGATGAGATGTTCTTGTTCAGAGCTACGAACGAATTCTTTTTGCCCACTGTTCGACACAAGGGCTACTCTTTGCTTGTACAATCAGCATACGGACAAATCATGGGAGTACGGGGCGAAATGCGCGGAGCAAACTATTTTTTTCTCGAACGGCTCGCGAAATGAGGTTTACACAAAAAGCAGGACTGGCACATATCATGGGTTTCCTTTTCTTTTTCTCGGTCTGCATACGGGGTTATTGGCAGCAAGTAGCCACCCAAAAAACGTTGATGGTTTGAGACGACGATGGGCGTACCACCTTACACATTATTCGGAATGCGCACTCGTTTTCGGTGTGCAACTAGGAAATTGGCCTTTCTAGCTATGAATTAACATTGATAACACATTTTCTTTTCGCAACCGCCTTTGCCTATAGCTGCTGCGTTTAAAACACCCGGGGATTGTGACTCGTTCTGCGAATGGTTCGCCGGTTGACAGGGGGGCAAAAGGGCCGTCCCATGTTTGCATTGGAACAGCTCGAACAGCCTAATCCACCCGGGTTGTTGACAGATGGACAAGCAAGGAATCTCAAAACAGCAGTTACAATGCTTTTCCCAAATTTGGATTGCGAGTTTGGAAGTCGGGCAGAATATTCGTCCATACTGACTCCCTTCTGCACTTGTTCAACTTTTTTTTTCGTCCCTTCCATTTTCTCCGGGGGAACCTCGACGGGAAGAGCTTCCGTTGCCCAGACGGTTGGGTCCCATGGAAAAATAGAAGGTGGAGGATGGTGCCGAGGTTTCGCCTGCTGAGAAAGCACGGGCCATCAACACCAGCGCCAGCGCGCCCCACCACTTAACGCGACTTCTCGCCTGCATCGTGTGCTCCTTTCGAAAAACGCGTCTGTCGCGGTCGGTGGTCCGCAACCCCCTTAGCCCGGCGCGTTGCTGCCATCCGTTGCTCCATCATTTCCGCTCCCCACTCTCCTTCCAATGTACAAAACCTCTTCATACTCTTCATGACTTCTTGATACTTTCAACTTGTACCTTCTACACGAACCGAGACTTTTTAATTGCGCTTGCCAATCCTCTCGACTTCTACTTCTCAACTTCACAGCTTCCGCTTGTAATCTGCATCGCTCTCGACCGCCTACGTTTTTCTCCCCTCATCACCTAGACGACCAGCACTTGCACATCTCGACGCAATGGCTCGCGCAGCTTCCCGTCGGCAGGTCAAGCCTGTTGCAACCACGCCAGCGACCAACCTCATCAGCAAGTACGGCCGAGTCTCCAAGACACACCCTGCTCCCGTAGACGACGCTTCAAAGAAGGTCTTCTTCATCGGACTGCCCTCCTCTCTTCCCGACGCCAAGACGGAAGTTAAGCCAGAGATTAAGCTCGAGTCCAGCCCGGAAAGAGCTCTCCCCCCTCAGCCTACAGCAACACCCTCAAAGAAGCGCAAGGCAAGATCGAACGACGAGGACGTCTCACTGAGAGATGCGAGAAGCGACGTCCCAGGATGCGAGTCTCTGAAGCGTCAGCGGGTCTTCAAGAGTGGGAAGGACGAGCCTGTCCCCATTAAGCTTGAGGTTGTCCCCACAACCGCAACCACCGCCACTGCTGCTTCTACACGAAAGAGCACCACATCGCCAGTCGCCGACAGCCGCCGAAAGACTCGCAAGTCGGACGTCATCTCCCAAGCAAAGACCGAAGTGCGCAAAGCCAACCAAAAGGTCAAGCGAACAAAGAAGCACAATGCTACAACGTCAGAGATCAAGGAGGAGGTTGTCAAGAAGCAGCTGCCTGCCGAGCTTCTGGAGCTCTTGGACCTGCAACGCGCCATCCTCAAGACTGTTTCTCTTCAGCTCGTGCACCAAAACAACAACGCACCGCTTGATATCAGCTCGATCGCACCTCACGTAGCCCGCACATGGGGAAAGAGGAGAGTCACAGTGGACGACATTCGGAGATGCATTGCCATCCAAGACACAAAGACACCAGGCCAGGAGGACGAGTCCCTCTGCTCGCCCTTTATCGTCACCGACTACGGCCGTGGCAAGCTCTGCCTCGAGATGGATCTCACCAAGAACATTGGCCGCATCGACGAGAATGAGCTCTGCCAACAGTTCGAGAAGAACCTGCACATCATGTGCTCCCAGCGCGCCATGGATGAGATGTCGGATCTCGATATCTGCTTCGAGAACCTGAGCTTCAACGACCTGCCCAAGTCCGATATTACTGTTCGTCACACAACCATGTCGGAGAACCCCCTGTTCGCCAAGGGACAACGCGCCTTGACTGGAATCAAGAACGACATCCTCAAGAAGCAGGAGAGAGAGACGCAAACCCAAGTATCGAAGTTCCCGGCACTCAACCCCAACGGCACCAAGATGACCCTCCTCGACAGACTCCGAGCCAAGGAGGAAGCCAACGCCAACATCCAGCTCCCTACCGGCCCCGAGATGGCGAGAAAGCGCGCCCTGCAGCGGGTGGGAGACATCTCCGCCGTCCTCTCCATGCTCGTGTCGTCGTCGAATGCGGCCGGACAGATGGTTGTGTCCTTCACCATGCCTGTTCTGCAGCAGAAGCTCAAGGACTCCCTGCGTGTACCCATGTCCATGGAGGAAGGTGTCGATGCGGTACGTCTGATTGCCAAGGAAGTCGCACCGGAATGGTTGAAGGTTGCCACGGTCGGTGGTAAGGAGCATGTCGTCATCCAGACGAGACGCAAGCCGTACGAGGCGGAGTTCGTTGCGCGAGTGAACCGACTTCTCGCATAGTTGAATTCATCTGAGGGAGAGGTTATCGGTGGAAGTGTGTTCAGGGGATTGGGTTGATGCATAGCATAGCGTGTTTTCTGCATACGGAGTTTGGAAGATACCACAGACAGAGGGATGAGACTCACATGGAGTTGCAGGCGCTTGGGTTCACTTGAAGGGGGGGCAAACATGTAGACTTGACACGATAAAGGTGTAAACAGTCACACATTTAGAGACTGCAGGAGATGCAGATAATGGATTCAGTGTAATCGTCAGCTTTGGAGTCGCCAACTCATCTATTGTGCTGTAAAACGTCTAGGAACCGTAACCTTCATAAAGAGCCAGCCTCTCGAGACTGTTCTGAGTCTTCAGTCTTGTTTCGTGCTATGCAACCCAAAGCCGAGGTCATTTTGTTGTTCAACACGACCATTTTTCGCCTTTCCAAGGATCCAGACTCCCAGCGCAAACAAGGTTAAAGCCACGAGCGCTCTCTCTCTCGTGCTGTGCCGTGCCCTCCCCGAGACTATGACGATTCCACCGATTGAGTTGAGTGGTATCAATCAAATAAGAAGAAGAAACTACTGGGAAAAAAAGTTGCTCATTTCTTCTTGGCGAAGCGCGGCTCGCCAATGTTGGCGCCGCGCAGCTTGACGTTGAGGACGCGCTCCATGGCCGACAGGATCTTCTGGTCGGGGGTGGCGCTGCCGCGCTCAAAGTCGGCGACGATGGACTGGGTGGTGTTGCACTTTGTGGCGAGGTCCTTCTGGGTCATCTTGGGCTCCATCTTTTGGCGCGTCTGGGAGATTGCGTCGCCGACCTCCTTGCCGACCGTGTTGGGCTTGATGATGTCGTCGGAGCGGTCGACCTTTGTGAGGCGCTGGCCTTCGACGCCGGGCTTGGTGGCCTGTTGGAAATGAGAATTAGCAACTTTTGATGTGGGAATTTTGCAGACTTTGAGAGTTTCGCTGGGAGGGTTGGCTTCAAGAAGGGTTTGCTCTCTTTCCTCTCCATCTCCCGTCATCAATTGAGAATTGTGGAGAATGGAGGGGTGAGGTTGGGCAAGGGCTCATGATGTCAAGCGTGAATTTCAAAGGATGCCGTCTATCGCGCAGGAGAGGGATTGCCCAGGAGGGAAAAAAAACATACAGCATTGCCAGCGGCGTACTTCTTCTCCGTTCCAATGACGGAACCGCTGCGCTGAGCGGCGTTGAGGGCGCTCTTTCCCTTGATGACGGTCTCTCTCTGCACGCCTCCGCCGCGGGCCTTGGAGCCGATCTTGGTGGCGGTGTCCCAGTCATCCATTGTGGGCGGTTCGGTTGGGTGTGTGAAGAGTTGTGTGTTCAAGAAAGGGGTGATTCGATTGGTGCGAAAGGAGATGTGTCCTTCTTTCGCTGTTCGTCGGGGGGTTGGTGATGTGGTCTCGTGAGGTTTGTGTTGTTGGTTTGTCGGTGGAGGGGGGAAGGAAGGTTAGATAAAAGAGGGTTTCGTTGCGTCAGTTTTTGGGAGGCGGCTGTTCAAAGAGACAGAGGGGGGGCCCTGAATGTCTTTGTGGCTGGTGCGTGGGCTGGTCGGCAAATGACAGGTATGGAAGTCGATGGACTGGCATAGATGGCAAAAAACCGGTGGGGGGAGGGGAGTCGACGGGGAGGGACTGCGCGAACTGAGTCAACCGGCGGAGGTAAGAAGGGCGGATATCCCTGCATGTGCCTAACGCCGCCGCCGCAGCAGAGCAGAGCACCAGGGCAGATCCGACTGTCAGACTGGGCTGCAAATGGCGGGGTGACCGACCTGACCTGAAGAGCCTCCCCCTCCTATTGCTGAAAGCTGTTCCCCAGCTGACGGGAGCGCTCTGCGTACAGGTATGGGAGCCTTACCGCATCTTCTCCCGGTGGCTGCCCCGGCCGGTCTCTATTTTTGCCTGACTGCGCCACACATTGGATTCGAGGCCCTCGAGGTCTCTTTTTCATCGTCTTCCATAATCAGGTCAGCCCGTTGGAATTCGGAAGAGCGGCCTCCAGGGAATACCTTAGGTATGGGGTATTATTCATTCCATTGTCGCTCATCGCATTTAACGGAAGTAAGTCGTTGATTCCGCCCAGGTTCCCTTGTCGGCTGTGCAACCTGACCCTGGCCATATGGCAGCAGCTGCCTTTGTTGTGTTCTGAATATGGCAACCTGCTTGCCTTGATCATGATCAAGCGAACTGTATTCCGGGCAATGGCTTCTACGGATCAATGGTGGCCATGCATACGACATGTCTGTATATTGGAGAGCCGTCCTGGCCGACGTACCTGGCCGACGAAGTGTCGGCCATGACTGTTTCACCTGGTTGCAGCTGGTTCGATGTTGATGACTAAGCTCGCTCATGGAACGAGGTCCTCACGTTGAGGTGGGTTCACCAAGAGTCTTGATCTCATCGAACATGCTCATCGGCCCACAACCCGCCCCGTCCTCCACCGAAAGACCCGATCTGGCAATCGCCATAGCCAAGCTTTCGTGATCCTTGACTGGAAGAGAGACGATTTTTAGAAAAAAACAAACATCGCAAACAACACCATCTCTTCATAATGAAAATAATATACAGCACTTCATCTTCATAACACTGCCGGGCACTGATTCCCCCGAACACGGCCGCCGGCATCCTTGCAACGACGCCGATCTCTACACGTGGTGAACAACCGGCCTCGGCCCCGGGGACCCCCCAAACACCTCGACGGCCCGGCCCGGAAAAACCACGAAGCATACCTTACCATACACCATGACCGCCGCCGCCGCACCGGGCCTCCAGCCCTTAACCCTCCTGGCAGGCTTCACCTACTACTCCCTCCTCGGAACCTACCTCGACACAGCCCTCCTCCTCGCCTTCACATCCTACCGCAACAAGCGCCTCCTCGCAGACCTAATCTCGCCCTACGTAGACCCGCACCTCCTACGCAACCAGCTCCTCCTCCTCCCGGGCTTCCTCCTAGGTTTCGTTCTCTTACAGATATGCCGCTTCCTCCTAGGCCTCGATGCTCCCACCGCGTCAGAAACGGAAACGAGAAAGTGGAAGACGACGCCGGTGAAACCGCTCTTGATCCCTTGTACCACGACACACAGGCGGACGTTCCCCGAGAAACACGCCTTTGTGTACTCGTACCTTGTCGTCGGCATCCCCGTCGGGTGGAAGGGCAACTACGGCGGCATGGTCTCGTGCGACGTCGACGAGGCAGGCTGGTTATCGTGGTTCTCGCTGGCGCCGCGGACGGCGGGACGGGCGTGGTTTCACGTGGATCCGGCGGACTATCTCGAGCGCGGGAACGGGCACCTTGGGTTGAGGGGGAAGCTTGATGCGTATCTCACTTCTCAGGTAAGGCGTCCTTCCGCTCAGCCAGGTTTATCCAGAATTTCACTCGAGCAAAAACGTGCTACATGAGAATGAACACAAGACTCACATAAGTCACGACAGGGCGCGGATCCAGCGCAGTATCCCAACGCATACCTCGTCACCGCAGCCCGGTTCCTGGGATACCACTTCAACCCGGTGTCCTTTTGGTACCTCTACTCCAGGGACAAGGAGCTGACGGCCATGGTGCTCGAAGTGAACAACACCTTTGATGAGCGGAGGATGTACTTTCTCACCACGGACGCCTTCCCGTCAGAACAACGTCTCGACGACGGTAGTAATAGACTACAAGACGGCATCGCAGCAGAGTCGGCCTCACAAGACGCAGATGCAGAATACGCCGCCAAAAAGACGCAGCAGATCAGGATGACAAAAACCTGGCCAAAGGACTTCCACGTCTCCCCCTTCAACTCCCGCAAGGGATCCTACGCCCTCTCCGCGACAGACTTCTTCCCACCACCACCACCGTCCGGCGCCGGTACGGCAGGAGCCGACTACAAATACACCCTCGACAGTACAATAACCCTCTCCTCCTCAAAACACCACCCCAAAATCGTCGCCCGTCTCTTCAACTCCGCCCCGGCCATCGACCCAGCCACCATGACCCCCTTCCAGAAAATCGTCTTCCTCGCCCGCTGGTGGTGGGTAGGCTTCGTTACCTTCCCCCGCATCGTCAAAGAAGCCGCCGCCCTCTCCCTCCGCAAGGGGCTGCACGTCTGGTTCCGCCCGGAACCCCTGAAAGAGAGCATCGGACGGAAAGCCGACGTGACGGAGAGCCGGCTCGAGCCCGTTTTCCGGTCTTACCTCCGTCACCTGGTCGCGCAGTCCACGGCCGCCATCGCCCTCACGTACATTCCCGCGGGAATCACTACCACTTCTGGAGCAGGAGGAGGAGGAGGCCTCACAGAGACGATGCTCTCGCCCGCCGCCCAAAAGAACCCGAAACGTGCAGAGCACCTCGACCTCAAAGTCCTCACCCCCGTCTTCTACACCCGCTTCGTGCGCTACGCACACGACCTCGAGGCCATCTGCTGCGAGTTCCAGGACAACGGCACGCTCTGGATCTCGCAGCCAGAGGTCCTACCGAAGCTTATTCTCAAGAAACCCGCGCCGCCACTAAAGACGACAAACATTCTAGACTACGTCTATTTCAGAGCCATACGCGCCCTGCGGCAGAGGCCGGACCGCATCGAGCGGCCACTGACCTCGGCCACGAAGTCTCCGGAAGCCAATGACGGCGGCGCCGGCGCCGGCGTACAAAAAGTCGATATCCGCGACTTCCGCATTTCCTCCATGGACGGCTTCGTCCTCGGACAGACGGACAGGCAGACGCGGAGTGTGTACAGGTCGCTCGTGCTACGATCATTTCTCGCCGACCGACTTGCGCTGGGGAGCGTGGAGCTCCTAGATTTGCAGCACTTGATCCTGCGCGCGGGCGTCGCTTGGGTCTTGTCGTCTACCGTCGCTCCGCTCATGAGGTTATGAGAGATACTTTGATACGAGTACCGTAGTACTCAGTAAGCGCCATGCATGTGGCTCACGTTTTGTGTTGCTACCTACTAGAGACACCGCGCAATCAGCCGCGCCTATTAGAAAATCATAGAGAAGGAGAGAAGAGCTAAGATGTAACAAGCAGGAGAGACAACTCTCTAAACTTGCTCCAGGTAGATGACGATGTCCCTCTGGCTGGACCAGTCCATCTCAGCCTTCAATGTATGTCGTCGATGATCAAACAAGGCAGCTAGGTAGCTAGCTGCTCCTAACCTGCATCGCCCGGCTGGGTTTCCCCCCGTCCCGCATATGCGACGAGCTGTCTTCCGTGGCTCACTGTCATTGGGGGAGATCTCTTTTTTTCGTCTCAGATAAGCCCGAGGAGATAAGTTGATAGCTCACCTACATTTCATCATTTACTTGCCGCAGTCCGGCGTATCATGAGCAGCAAACGCACAAGGACATCACACATCCACACACCGAGCTGCGCTGTCATGGATGCTGGTGAGCAGATCCCCCAAGCTGTGGATCTTTCCAATGGTTACAGCTGGGTATTTGAAATACTCGTCTCTCTTTCCCGTGGTTCTCCCCAACCAAAAAGCATATTTGGCAGGTAGTCTGATTAGTCCATGTTGGGGCGGGCGGGCAGTGGACGCCGAATTGCATATCTTTGCATGCGGTACCTTACCTGGAAGAGGGGTTCCCTTACCTCATGTCTGTTACAGTGGGGTGTCAAAGGTTCGTGTGCAGCGCACAGTATCCCGCAAAAGTACCACTTTTCAACAGCGAATAAAAGCCTAATTATGATAAAAAGACTAAATTAAAAATCACTATATAACTATTTTACTAATATTTTAGTATATATATAAGTTGCACTATGTTTTATCTATTAATTAAAGCGTTAAATAAATCTTTTTATAAGTAGGTTTTAAGAGGCTTTTATGATAGTGGGTTATAGGGCCTCTTGAGTGCGAATAGCACTGTACTTCTTAGTAAATTCATCTTTCTTCTCTACTCTACTTATATATCTTACTATAACGTACTAATATAACATACATTAAAATATATAAAAAATACTTCTATATACTTTATATACTTAAATATTTTATGAAGATTTTGAATTGTTCTGTTTATACCTAAGTTTATAAGATATTTGTAGTTATAAAGAGACGTAATTAGTGGGCTTAAGGTGACGCACTGGGAGGGTGTACACGAACTTTTGGCACCCTACTGTAGCTTGCATGGTCCAAGCAAGGGAACGGTATACTCGAACTGAGCACGCGGCATACGTTCGTACCCTTACTCAGCATGTCATCTAATGTGTAGATTGTGCAGCGTTTGTGGAAGAGAAGAAAACAAGAATCTGTCAGAAGATCATCTCATGTTTCAATCGTTGATTCAACGTTTTGTCAATGGCATCTGGAATACTTACCTAGCTGTGATTCCGAACGCTGTGTGTGAGGTGGCGCACATTTCCCCGCCCATGTTTGGATCCCCGATTTCCGAGGGGCCGGGGGGAAGCTGGTGTGGAGGGGAAAGTCTTTGAGAGTGGACTCAGTGGAGGGCCGGGGTCACGTCACACCTCTCCAAACATAGGTTGCCCACAGGCGCCTCGCGCTGGATTTGGTGGTTGCCATTACTCGATTCGCAATGATTTGCAAAAGAATGCTTGTTGAACCGCTCGGGCACGGGGCCGATAGGTGGGCATCCTAGGTATACAGTATGCACCTATGCCAACCCGGCAGTGGGGTCGATGCGCACACGCTTGACACTTCATACTGACAGAACCTTCGACTCCTTGAGTCTTCGAGGTGCCGCAGAGGATTAGGTATCTGGTGTGTCGTGCTAAGGTGCCGGCGAGCTGCAGCAGCACTAACGCGGGTCCCGCATCGAAAATTCCAAATCGTCCGGTCCAGGGTGGGCGGCTGGGGGGGCTGCGTTCGAGAAGACCATACAGTGTTTCTCGAAGCTCTGATCCCATCTTGTCAGCAAACCGCAGCTTCGATCAAACGAGGATATCTCAAAGACGTACCTTTTGCCATGGAGAAGGGGCTCTAATGACAAATTGCGATGATGAAAGGATCTTTTCTCCAAGGGACCCGAACGCCCGTCCGTGGCTGGCGCAAAACCGAGCATCGGTTTGATCCTCACCTGCTATGAGCCCCCCCTTCCGGGCCCCTCCGCGGGGTCGAGCTGTTCGAGTTCGAGACATCAACATCCAATGCTCGCCTGACTAGCATTGTCATGTCATGCCACAGATTGGTCGAAAACCGCTCGCCGTGAACATATTCTGACCAGACTCGGTACTGTCTCGCGTTGTACTGTGCTGTGCTGTACTTGGTCGTGTATGTAGCGAGTTCGAGAGCATGGATGTCATCCAGACTCTTGCTGATATACGGTGCAACAAGGATGAGCTGGCCACAGGTCGAACAGAAACGCCAAGGAACTCAGGATCGCCGTGGCCTGCAGCGCTGACAGAAACGTTTCTCGAATTGGTGGATCCCTTCTCCTCACTGCTTCCCAAAGCTGTCCAAGCACCCAACATCTTGTTTCCAGGGTTGGGTTGTGTTCGATGTCCCGGCTCCGAAAGAGCCTAAGCCTACCGCCACGAAAGGGTGTGGTCTCTCGAAGCTTTTCATTATGGAGGACTCGTCGGATGTATAAAAAGAAGTTATTTTCCCTCGCGAATAATGTGGTTAAGTCTTCCTTCCAAAGATCAAAGCACAAACGCCAATCTTCGGAAAGTCTTCCCTCAACGTCTCAAAACCGTAGCTTGAGTTGTGGTCGCAGCCAATTCACCATCGGAAACTCCCATCCCACGGTTCGGACACTTCTCCCCGCTCATCCGGTCTGGATCCAGGATCGGTACCTCAATAGGGTAAGTGACGTCGTCGGAAATATGTAAGCGCCTCAAGTGGTGTTCGGAGGTCGCCAGCTAAAACTTGATGCGCCACCAGATACCCCGCCCCCTCCATCGACAGAAACAAAAAGGGCTTGCTCCCGTCTGGTGTTTGTCCGCTTGGGAGTTTTGCTGCACTGCACTGTCTTTCAACGACTTCAAATCTGTTGTTGTTCTCGAAGGATTCCAGCCCATTTTCAACGTACCTCTCCGACTTTGCTTCATATATTCAACATGCCTCTTACGGGACACTGCCTCTGCAAGGCCGTCACCTACAAGGTGGACGTCGACGCCCCTCTCATTACCGGCTACGATCACTGCGACGATTGCCAGCGCCAGAGTGGCTCGACATACTGTACGTGTTCTCTGCTGCTTTCCCACATAGTTTTGTCGTAGCATAGAATCGGATTGCTCGATCTTTCGACTTGTGACCTGGGCGTGTCTTGGTTGCTGACCCTGGATTAGCCCTTGTCGCTGTTGTTCCCAAGGATAAGCTTACCATCAACGGCCCTACAAAGAGCTGGGCGGGCAAGGGCTCATCAGGCAAGGATGTTCACCGCATCTTCTGCTCCGAGTGTGGCTCGCCAATTGCTCACGACCCCGATGCGGCCCCAGAGATCATCGCTCTCAAGGCTGGTACCCTCGATACCGAGATCAAGAAGAACCTGAAGCCGGTAAGTCGAGCCATGAACGCAACACCGATCGAAGACATTTTCTCCATTGCTGTGGCTTTGAATCGTGATGATGGCATAGGCGAATGTCGCGACTAATGCGTCATCTCTAGGACACCGAGATTTGGACTGTCGGCAAGCTGCCCTTCTGCCAGGAGAACTTGGCAAAGCCCTTCAAGCACATGCCCGAGTAAATTCGGACGTACGGTGTATCGAATAGAGTTGAGATGCATGTAAGATGGGATATACCCCTAGGTCTTTGGATGAAGGGTCTGGGACCCAACTTATATGCTGCGCGGTGGAGGGAACAAGACTAGCATGGACGAGTGGGATGTGGGGAGTTTGTGGGTGTGGTGGGTTGGCGTGAGAACCTGGAGGGTTATGATGGCATCGGGCTCGACTCGACCTCTTTTTGACCCACGTCCGTCGTTACCCAAGTATACGCAGCTACTAGGTTAGCTCGGACGAAAGATTTTGGAAGGACTCATTAGAAATTGAATGCAAGGCAATTGCTCTACAAAGACACAATCGATCGTGCCTCGCCGTCCAGGTGACATCCTCGTCCAAGGCGTCATCACTGTCACAACCCCATTGTCAAGGGTCAGAAGCCAGCTGCATTTGATAAACTTTCATAAAAGTCTTGCATTATGTCACTTATCACAGTCACGGCTCAGCCAAAGAGAAAGGGGAAAATGCATCCATTCAATGCTCATTAATACTTGAATCGTGAACAGTGCCGGACGTTATCATTACTTCCACCACCAGACATCTCTTCAACCCCGACTTTCTCTCACGCGACGACGGCCAAACTGCGTCTCCAAGAATCTCTTACAGTCCTGCGAGAACTGCGATACCAGCAGCACCCATCAAGAGGCCACCTGCAGCGTAAGTTGGCATCGCACCACTACCAGCGGTTGTGCTTGTGGCCGCGGCACCCGAAGCTGTACCGGTGGTGGCAGTTGAAGCACGGGTAGATGAAGTACCAGTTGCTCCCGAAGCGGAGCCAGTCGCAGCAGTAGATGGGCTCGTCGTCGTGCGGCTTACAGCAGTGGCACTCGCGGCTGCACCAGTGATGGTGCCAGGTCCCTGGGGGCCGCTAGCCGTATAGTAGAGAGAAATGGCCGTGTTGCTGGGAGCTTGATCGCTTGTGACAGTGGCTCCAGTAGTCACGGGAGTAGCAGCAGCCTCTATGCCGGAGTAGATGCTGGCGAAAACAGCAGTGGGAGTACCTGTGCAGAGAGCATTGGAGGCAGATGAGAGGACGCCGCTGTAGAAAGCTAGGTTTCGCTCGCTGCGGAGACCGTGAACAGTGAGGCATCGCTCGCAAGCCAACTTCTCGGCGAAGAAGCTACCCCCGCAGATGCATTGAGCGTGTGCCTCGTAGTCGATAGGGTTGGTGCCATTGGGTTGACAGGCGAGCTCAATGTTCTCAATTTGGACGCAAGGGGGCAGCTGGGCACCAGAACCTGTCTGAGGCTTGCAGACAACATCTTGGTAGGGACGGGTGGTCTGGCGGATGTCGAGAAGGGCCGGGATAGACCAAGCTTGGGCGGTAGAGGGAAGCATGGCTGCGAGGCCAGCGACGATGGTTGTCTGTCTCATTTTGGTGTAGTTTGTGTGTTTTGACAAGCCGGTCAAAGTTGGCGTGGTAGTAAGGAGTTGGATGATGAAGGAATTCTTCAAGAGGATAGATGTAACGGAAATGGATGTGGTAATTGCAAACAAAAGAGGCTGGTGTATTGGTGTAAGTGGTGGAGGCAGTTATGGAAGGCTTTGATGATGTGTACACTGTAGTTGGATGTGAGAAGAAGAAATGGATCGGGGAGAGAATTGAGAGAAGGGGATTAAGAAGAAAAGGAAGCAGAACACAAAGGCATTGTCCAATGAGTAGGCTGCTGCCTGTGTCACAACCAACGGCAAGTGCCCTCTTGCGGTGACTACCACATTTACCAAACCGGATGCTTGTACCTGACCTTGGCTACACTACCTAAGCACCAAGGGGGCAGGAACAGGCGTGAGAGCGCATGCGCCGAACCGGGGCAAACGGGGAGGGTATCGTGGACAGGATATACAAAGTTTGGATCTTTGGTGTTTGACCTTACCCTTTCTGTATTCCTTGTTTTCCTTGAGGCATGCAGATTGACATTTTGCCATCATTACCGCAACTAACGCGCCATTAAGGGCAAGTTTTGCCGGAGGGGAATGTTGCCAGAACAGACGGTTTCTCACGCCGGCGGAAATTGAATATTGCGGCACAGCTAAACACCTCGTTCGCTCCTGTAGACACACACACACACACACACACACATGTTGCAAATTGTCCAGTCACGGTCGAGGAAGATTTCGCGTCGAGTTGGACCAACTCGAGCAGCTGGCCGAAATTGGCCTAGTGAAGCAAGGATGGCACTGTCCACACCTTTAACGGATGGGAAAGCTCGGGCGTAAGTGTGGAGTCAGAAGCTGTCCTTTTGGCAGGGGAGGCAACACCTTATCGAGGGCGCCTGGGGTGCTCCTCATCAACATGGACCTTATTGCCAAGCGAAGCAGCATCCATAATCATCGTTGACTAGGTAGGTCCATTGCAAGGTACAAGGTATCCGTATCCGTACTTTGGTGTTGGACCTTCACCTTCCCGTCCTTTCTTTTGCGGGGACTCTTGTAGTAAGTGCTTAGGAACCACCATGCGAGGTGCTACCTCAATGCTTTGGATGAGTTCCTGCCACTGGCCAGTCTAAGGACCTTCCTGCCCTTCTTGTTGTCGAGTCACTCGTGACATAGGTACCTGACCATACCTAAGGTGATTGCTACCTCCACAACTAGGTAGGCCGGAATTGACTAGACGACTTGATCTACTATTATTCGGTCCAGTTCCTCCCGTCGCAAATGACATGGCAAGTTGGCCTCAAAGGAAAGTGGCACTTCGACCTGTTCCATGACCAACATTCATGGCCCAACGACAGCAGAAGCAGCAGCAGCAGCAGAGGGATATTGATCAAGAAGGAGTAAGGGATCAATCCCTGGCATTACATCGAATGATTGAGGCACTGCTGTCATCAGTCGCAAGGCGCCTTCAACCACGTGCCTGCCACAAAAAGCTCGGGGCAACCACCGTTCAACTCTGTTCCTGCAGGCAACGCCGCAGGGGTGAAATAAGCTTGCTTGTAGTAAGCATGGTCTTGCCTGTATCTCAGTGCCAAGGCCCCCAGATGTGGTAGGAAAGACGCTGATCTATTCGACGACGCACCTCCCTCATCTTTGACAAATCCTTCGACGGCAGACAACTGAACTAGCCAGGCGGTTTTTGAACCTCTTTTTGAATTCGAATTCGAATTGGCAACTTGTTTTGTAGTTCGACAACACATACAACGGAGGACCTCTGCGGTTCGTGGCGCGCTTCTCACCTTGCATGAATCGGCTTCTCCACGCCAACCGTCAGCCCTACGTTTTCTAGTGCCGCTTCGTGCATAGGTGTTCCGCCACAATCCAGCACTTTGAATGCGAAAGTGATTGCATTCCAGGACTCGATCGCTGAGCAGAGTGCAAAATTCGAGCCCTATAGCTAATTGCTGCATGAGTCTGCCAGTGGCCGCTGGGAACGGCCCCGTCAATACAGTATGGCCTGGTCCTGAGACCTGTGTCTTTGCGACTCGCATCCCAAGCCAGAGTGTCTTTGTTTACAGCACTATCTCACCTCAATATCTGTCTCGTGGTGTAGTAAGACGCCGCCCTACCGTAGCTTGTCAGCCAGCTTCCTGGTTTGGTCTGGGCTTGGATTGTGGCAGAAACAATGCAGGCAACGCACTTGCACTGCTGCTGAAGCTGGAGGGACACTATCTTCAGCTAGGCTCAGCCTTCCGTCTGGCTTGTGCGGCTGAAGGACAAGTAGACGACTTCTTATATGGCACTCTTCGCCATCTGATATTCCAAGCTCACAAGCTACATGTTGTCCTGAAGCAGACACTCACCCCGGGTTCCTACTACAAGTATGCGCTTCGTCCCAGAGCTCGCTGTCGCTGTCGTGAGTCTCGCGCCGCGAGCTTGCGCTGTTGATCCGTCTCTACATTCACGACAGGCTCAGCAAAGTCTCAGCAATGCGCTGACAAGCCACGCCGATCTCTCCACGTTCAACGAAATTCTGAACGGCTATCCGAGCATTATAAGCAACATAACCGCTGGGACGAAAAATAAAGTTACTCTCCTAGTGCCGACCAATGTTGCCCTCGCCAAGTTTCTTCAACAGTCCAACGTCAGCGAAATCACGCAGCTTCCCGTGAACCAACTCTTGACCATCTTGCGATACCATACTCTGGATGCTCCGTTGACGGCCTCGAATTTCAGCGCGCCCAGGGGTATCACAGTCCCCACTAAACTTCGAGATGAGCTCTTCAACCTTCGGACACCTGGACCTGCCATCATCGACCAGTACGGCGAAGACGCTCAGGGTCAGGTGCTTTTTATTTCACCGAGCACCATTAATCCCACCAAATTGAGAGTCAGGCAAGGGACCCCTTCCGATGATAACACCGCAAGCCTGCGCGGTGGCCTTGGTCAGACTGCCGAGCTCACATCGATCGATGGGGTGTGGGATGGCGGATATTTCCAATCTGTCGATGCGTGAGTCGATACCCTCCGCCTACATCAAGGGACTCATTCTGATAACCTCACAGTGTTCTAGAAGCCCCGGCAGTATGTTCCACCACCATCAAGAAGCTCTCAAGCTCACTATCGGCTCTCGGAGATGCATTGGACAAGATCAAGCTATGGAGACAACTCGACAATACCGCCAACATCACGTGCCTGGGACCCAACACCGCTGCTTTCAAGGAGGCAGGCAGTCCCCAGAGTTCTCTCGGAAACGAAGACCTCAAGAACGCGTTGCTGTGAGTCACAAGCCACGAATGCAGACTCTAGCTCTCGTTCGACTGACCCAAATAACAGTTTTCACACTCTACCTCAGACAGCTTACAGCGACTTCCTCGTGGATGGCCAGGAATTCACCTCGATGGCCAACGTGACTGTTCGCGTCACGATCAAGGACAACGAGATCTGGTTCAACGATGCCAAGGTCATTAGCCCCAACGTCCTGTGAGTACTACAATGCATAATCACTACCTAACCAGCAACAATACCTAGACAATGAAGCTGATGGCTTTTGACAGGACTAACAATGGACTCATCCACATCTTGGACCGCGTTATGTCCGCCAATGCCCTGCCGGACTCCTCGACTTTCTCACCAACGGGAACGGGCTCGGCTACCCCTACTTCACCCGCCACGCCCCCGAATGCCGGGAACCTCATGTCAGAAAACATTCGTGCCGCCGCAGTCATTGCTCTTGCGGCTGGTGTGCTACTTGTGTAAGATGATATGTTCAGGGATACCAAGGGGCTTGTTTCCTTCTCCGGCAGGGAAAACTTAGAAGGGAAGGAGGGTAGGAAGTACGGGTGACCCTGTTTATGCAATTTTGAGCAAGTTAGTTTGGCAGGTCAAGGAAGGTGGCACTGGCACCCTGTGAATAAACAAACTTTCAGATGAATACACCACGAGAACAAACCCATATAGGTCCCGTCAATTCCATTCTCGTCACCAGCCAGCAGGCGCCCGTCTAGGTCGACGGGTCAGGTCAAACTGGCTGGATGGTGGAGTGGTTTGAGGTCAATAATTAAAATCGCCAACCAGCCTACTCGACGACAGGCTCAGCGCATACGAGAGTACCCGAGTTCGAATCCCAGCATAAGCACCAGAATTTAGATTTCCCAGCATGAGCACCAAGAGATGTAGCCCCCAGTTCAGCACCGAGGGGGTGAACTCTTTTGCCAGCTTCAGTTCAACTCTTTTTTGAGTGTTTTGGTATTTTGATACGTGGTCCTATGGGGGTAAAGCATGTCTACTCTCTTTTGGCGACATTGTAAGATGAACATGAGGCTGAAATGATTTCGGCGATGACTGCACTACAGAAGAGAAAATTATTCACCAAGTATTTGATGTCCGAGATCATCATATCAGGTACTGTTGGGTAGGTAGGTCGGTGGGTTTTCAGCGTCAAGAGATGGTTTGATCAGCTCCAGCAACTTTGCTCGGGAATGCGCCCAAGATGCCGCTACCTTTTGGCAGTACATTGTTTTCTCGTTCGGTCGTGTGTCAACGGGAAGTCATCCCAAGGAAGCTTGCACCCAAATGCGATTGATCTGCAACTTGACGACTCTTCAGATATCAATTGTCTAGTAACCCAGGTGACGCTTTCGTAAGCCGTTGCTCTGCCGTCGTCAGCGTCAATCATATCTCACCTAGTGCTCTGATGCAGTCGTGATACGATCTTTCTGGAAGGTTGCCAAGATTGTTGTCTCACATATGAAAAAAAGGGGGCGAGAACCCTAGCAACGCGGGATGCCTCTGCCCTCTGGAATCCTCACCGACTAGCTCGTCCCAAGGATCTACCGTACATGTCAACCCTCCTCATCCGGCCGATCCGCTCCCCGCCGCTTTCTTGCTTACATTCGAGTTTCGTTTCATGCAGCTCAAACCAACCATTCTGTATCGTGTCAAGGGAAGACAGTATGGGAGTTATCTCAAAAAAGGTTCCAACACGAGATGTGAAAGTTCCTTTCCAAGTCAAGGATAACTCGGCAACGCCTGCGTACTTCCGCACTGGCACACCGAGAAATTCAAGAATCCTGACTCTTTGTCTACGTCACTCTACTATTAAAAAAACGGGTACCAGAGCCAGCCTTATCATCCGCTTGGGTCCTTATTTCTGGAGATTAGGATCATATTTTGTGGCGCCCCTATGGTGCGTTTGCGTGGGGGGTCCGTCCGTATTTGAAGCTAAGGGAGGGAACTAAGGTAAGACACACAATCCTTGGGTCGCTCATGCTGAGCTGTTCCCCTTCCAGTCCGCGCCAGCTTCCCAAAGGTAACCCCCCTTCCTCCCCCTCCCCTCGAGCAGAAAAAAAAAAAGAAAGAGAGAAGTTGGAGAAGCTCAAGTTCATACTACCACCTTCATCTCGAATCAACTCACAAGGCCCGCGGTCCTAAAAAGTCCGCATCGCAACCCCGGTCTACCCAACAAACCTCACACGAAAAAGGACATCAACTCTCCCCCCGCTCCACAAGCAAAAAAGAAACAACGGGGCGGACCACCGATGGGGCTTCAACGGCCTCCGAAAGGAGGGACCCACGTATCGGTCATGCTCCTCCGCGCCGTCGGCGATCTCCCCGCAATCATCTGGGAGGTCCTGGCCGCCGTCGCCTGGGAAGGGTGGGTCTCCGTCACGAACCAGCTCCGTCTCCTCGTGGCGACCTACCCGCTCATGGTCCTCTTCTTCTTGTTGTCCACCACAGGCGGCGGCGGACCTCTCGACGTCACCGTCGTCCTCGTCAGCACCTGCTGCGTCGCCTATATCTACGCCTCTTTTCTCTACTATTTCCGTTTACGGGACCGGCTACCCTGGGCCTGCCTCGTGGCGACGCTCCTCTGGTTTGACGGCGGCGACGGGTCCAACAGGCAGCTCATGCGCCGCGGGGCGGTTGCCGTCTTCATGTTGGCGCGGGACGACGACTGGAGCGCCGTGGTGGAGAAGAGGGTGAGGGGCCAGACGCTGCCGTGGCAGGACGGGAGCGGGTTCGCGTTTCTTTATAACTTTGAAGGGCGCGAGTTGCTGAGGGAGGTGGCGCTGTTTTGGGTCAATACGCTCTGCTCGTCGTTTGGGCGGCGGCGGGTGCACGACGACTTCACGCTGCGGACTTCCATCAGGATCATGGACGTGCTGGTGTTGCCGCTGATCGGGGCGGTGGACTGGGCTTGGCGGTACAGGCAGGCTCGGAAGCAGATGAGACTTGTCGAGGAGGAGAGGAGGAGGAGGGGAGGTATGGGGTTGCAGGAAGGGAATTGAGTTGAGTGACAAGGAGGGACGGGTTCGTTGAGCTTATTTGAAGGATGTAGTATTCTTATTCGAGTAATCGTAATAGTCCGCGTTGAAACATGGACCGTAATATTCAAAAAGACGAAGCTGGGTATCGAGTTGAATCGAAGGGAAAGTCATATACGTGCAAATTCCTCGAGATCGACCTTTCAGGCACTGACAGGACCAGCCTCGTCCTGCCACCACTCCATAAAAGTAAGAAGCCTCTGGGTCCGCTCCCGCGCCATCTCCCTCCCAGCATCCGTCTTCATCATCCCCTCCAACCTGACGAGCTTCTCCTCAAAGTGCTCGATGGAGTCGTCCATGCTGCGCGCGCCCTTTGCGCCGCCAAACGTGAAGCAGCGCCCGATGCCCACGGCGCCAATGGCGTCGAGGCGGTCGGCGTCCTGCACGACGGCGAGCTCTGGGTACTCTGCAATCAGCGCCCGTACGCGCGCCGGATCCTTGATCTCGCTGGAGTAGCTGACGCCGAGGCAGATTGTCTGTACGCGGGCGGCGAGGTCGGGGCTGGCGCCGAGGGAGCAGAGGAGGGTGGAGACAAGGGTGGATGCGTCCTCGCCCGGCTGGAGGTACTTGCGGTCGCCGACGTCGTGGAGGAGGGCGGAGAGGGTGATTGTGTGTTTGTCTAGGGCCGGGGTCGTAGCTGGAGATTGCGCGTGGATGCGGTGGGCGAGGGAGACGACGCGCTTGATGTGGTTGAAGTCGTGGGAGGCGTCGTATTTTGCCATGTAGGCCTCGACGTATTTTGTCACCTCGGAGACGAGCTCCTCTTTGGTTGGTGATGCGGTTTGAGCCATGGTGAAAACCGGGGTACTCTGACTTGAGTATCCGATGAATCTTGAACGTCTGTAGATGGGAAAGATTATGTTTGAAGAACTGAAGGAGACTGGATCGTCGATGGCGTTTATCAATGACAACGGCAAGACTTCTCGCTGATGGATTGGTAATCCGACCTTTTCAACAGGGCTTTACCTTGAGGACGTCTAGCTAGATTGAGTGACCGAGTCGGTAAAAGAGGGGCTGCTGCCTTGGATCGTTGACTCAGGCCGGCGACGTAGCAACTTTCGTACGCGACTTTGTTACGACGCGCCAAAGTAGATAGTCGCAAGATCGTCGACGAGAAACGCGCTATCATGTGACCGTTCACGTGATGAAGATCAACTGTAGGTGGATACCACCGCTTCCAGTCTCCACATGGCTTGTTCCTCTCACGGGCGATCCCGCTGTTTCCCGCCAGGTCTTCCCGCTACCAACAAAGACCACGGGCAAACGGCACACCCTCGACTTGAGCACACCTGTGCAGATCTTGGACAGTGGCCAAGCGCCTGAGAAACAACGTCCAAAGACCAAATCTGTTGTAATGCTGCAACACACGTAACACTCTTGAGCGCCCAGCTTGTCAGCCGACATCGATCTCACCATTCTGAGGTCAGACCGCTTCACGCTCGCAGTCGCTTTGTGAGACATCTGTCGGCATCAAGGAAAAGGCCGATATGCCAGAGTCGCAGCCGGCTTACGAGGCGCCGCCGTCTTGCGACCTGTCACAGCCCTTTCTTCGCTTTCTGATTAATCTGATGGAGTGACAATCTCGATGGACCTTTCGCATAGTTGCGCTCCAGAACCACGGCAGGCATTTCTACATCCCAGATCCCAGATCCTAGATCCGATGAGGGAAATACCACGAGCGGGCTTGCCGTTCCGTTCAACGGGGACTATAGTCCATCAGTGTGATGGACCTCACATACCCGCCGAGACTAGAGACGCATGGAGCCGTATGACGCACCTTGAATACTATGCCGAAGAGGGATGGTGAGAACTGAGAAGGGGAAAAACTGACGCCGTATCTACAATTCACCTCCATCATCTTCTCGAGGTGTGGGTGGCTCAAGGGTCACGCAGTCGCAGCGGATGTCGACCGAAGGCGGAGAACGGCAGTTTGTACTTGGCGGGCCGCACCACGATCGGCCATGTCGACTGACAGGGCCAGACCGCGCAGGGCAATGCCCACGCTGCCAGTCTGTGTCACGGCAGACAAGGCAGAGGGAAGCACGCACTTTAGAGTACGCTGCCCCGTATTCTGCGCCCTTTCCAGCTCCGGATCTCGGTAGTGTTTGATCTCCTCCAGCCCTTTGGGCCAAGTCTGTGGGTATTGTCTTTGGGCGTTACCATCGTCCCGGCTTACACTTACGAAGGCATTTAACCCTCTTGACATTGCCGGAGACTGACCTCGAATTTTCTGCATCGCTAGATCTAGAGAGAGCCTGCCGTGGTTCGACGTCTAGGCAGGTACGAGAAGCAGCTGGCAAACCGGAGGACGCAGACCAGTCTGCACATCACCCAGGCAGGCACCCAGGGAACCAGAAACATGGCTTCTGGCATCATATTTGCTCTTCCCTTTCTTCCGACTCGCGCGATCTTCGGTTCTTCCCTGGTCGAGCGGCTGGGAAGAGGACGGGACGTCAAGTGACAATTCGGATACTCCAATGAGGAAGGACATCAATCTCAGCAAAAGCTCGCGCATTTACATGCAGACGGCATGCATATTGACTCGTTGCATGATGCAGTATGCCAGTTGACTGTCCGCTTGATGCGGCTATAGGCATACGGGCGAATACCATGCGAGAACTGAGAGATGTGGCTTTTCTACTCATCTCTCACAGGCACGAAGATGAGCCAATCGCAGCTAGACGGCAGCTCTTGACTATTTCACTGAGGAGGGCTGGGAGCCTTCTTGTGAGTGGTGATGCTTTCGCAAACCTGCATCGTCCCGCGCATAGTCATGATTGGCTCGACCTGCAGCACATCACTTCAACAAAGTTGGTGATGGGGTGATAAGCGACCGGGCACAGAAGAGCGATGGGCGTGGGCTATTGGCCAATGATGGCAGGGATTTAGACGCCCAATTCGAGCGGAAAAGCACGACCGGCCCCACATCTCACGCAAAGATCGGAGAGAACGTGGAAATGTGGGGACGTACCGCGCTTTAGTCCCGGCCAGTCCCACTTTTCTCTTCTATTTTGGCTGACGGCTGCCCAGAGAACCCCCTCCCTCTCTCTCAACTCTCACCTCTCCCAGGCTCCCCTCACCATGCAGCTTAACCGCCCAGCGTGCAGACATGGCCCATCCCGGCGGCCATCTTATGGTAGCACCACTAAGGTAACGAGCAACGAGAGAGAGGTGACGGCTACGATGGTCCCCCCATCGACAGAAAAGCTGCTTTCGTTCCTATTTGCCAGTACACCTCGGAGAGAGGCCACACAGCCAACCACAGTACACAGCTGTGTGTGGGTGTCCATTCTTGGACGAGGGGGAACCCCGGCCGGCTGATCCTTTCGACGTTGCCCGCGAAGCTCATCACCAGTGTGATATTGGTTGCTTGCATCGATCATCCACAAGCCTCGTCCTCCCTAGCTCTTCTCTCATTGGGTCGTCCAGTCGACTGACGCTTGATTTTTTGCACGCTACTGTGTACGGCACGCTCCACAGTCCACGCTTTTTGCTGACGAGCAACGAGTTCCCCGTTGCGTTGCTCCAGCCATGAACCGGCGCCAGTAGCACCGCATCTCGAGTGGCTGTCTAGGTATCCCAGCCCACCACCACCAACAAGGTGACGGGAGCACAGAGGTAGCGTACACTAGACAGGTGGAGGAGACATGTGGTGGTGGTGTTGGCCTCAATCATGGCCTCTCCTGGGCCTCCTAGGACGGCCCGTCAAACCATATAATGGAAGCATCCCATCCTCTTCGATTCCCTTTCCTCTTTCTCTCTTCAGCAAGCAATCAAACAACTAATTCCAGTTCTTCGTTTTTCCCCTCCTCCTTTTTTGTTCTTTCTTCTTTCCATAGAGCCGGTCTCTATCTTAATTCACACTCCAAACTAATACCCAATTTTTTGCAAATCATCACCACCAAAGTTGCCGGTCAACTTATCCCCTAGTAACGGAAATCTGGAATTTCTTGCTCAACGCACATTATTCAGCAAATCCACTTAATCGCAGCACCCGTTTAAACGTCAAATACCGCAATAATGTCGTCCACTCAACTCTCCTTCTCCCTTCGTGTTTCCTCCGGTGTCAAAACCGTCCACTTGCTCGGCTCCTGGGACGGCTACGTCGGCCAGCTCCCTCTATCCAAGGACAAGACTTCCTCCAAGTCCGGCTCATGGAAGGGCACCTTCAAGTTTGGCGGCTCCACTCTCTCCGCCGGCTCCCGCTACTGGTACTACTACATCATCGACGGCTACCACGTTGCCCACAACCCCAGCGTCGCCTCCACCGTTGAGCCCACCACCGGCCGCGAGTTGAACATCCTCGACGTCCCCGCCGGCTCCAAGTCCTCCAGCAAGTCCAGCTCCAAGTCCAGCAGCACCAGCTCCTCCAAGTCTTCCTCAAAGTCCTCTTCCCACTCCTCGTCCCGCAGCTCCCGCCACTCCTCCAAGGACAAGGACTCCAAGTCAAGCCGCCACCGCTCCTCGTCGCGCGACATCCCCAAGGGACGCCCCCTCTCCGTCTCCCAGATCAAGGCCCCCAAGCCCATGTCGCCCCACGCCACCCAGCACATCCTCAACAGCGACTACTGCGACGACGAGACCATTGAGGAGCTCACCGCCCGCTTCGGCGCCGCCGGCTTCGACGAGGAGGACATCGTCACCGACTTCTCCGCCTCCGGCTCCCCCGTCTCCTCCACCGGCTCCAGCCTCTCCTACCGCTCCGACAGCTCCAGCCCCAGCTCCTCGCTCTCCGGCTACAGCACCCCCGGCTCCGACGTCAGCACCTGCACCTGCGAGCGCTACGGCATCACCCGCAAGGGCGACCGCGTCAAGATCGACTGCGGCGGCGCACGCTGCGGCTACGACGACAGCTCCGACTGCTCCGACTCCGAGTCCGAGGAGGAGGAGGAGTACGCTCCCTCCACCACCCGCCGCCACGGCATCGTCGTCAGGTGAAGAGCTTCCAATCCTGCCCTGGGATGGGAGTGACCACAACCACCGCCAAAAGGAAAGCCACCAAATACACGAAGATAGAAGGCCCCCATGTGGCCCGTACATTCATTTCGTCGCGCGACTGCCCCGCGCTCGCCGACGTGCTAATCATTGCATCCACCGAGGAAAGGCAGTTGCGAACTCGAGCCGGTCTCGGGCCCGCCCGCCTCCTCGTTCCAAGTGGGTCGATGCTGCGACCCCGCGCCGCGGTGGCCGCCGCCCTCTGTCCCGTAGACGGAGGTGCTTGGCCGCCGCGCGCGTGAACCAAACTCAACCGTTTCGTTTGTCATGTCCTCACTTGACAACAGCGGAGCCATCCTCGCATTCCCTTCCATAATAGGGGAGGAATGCGAGAGACCAAGACTCCAGGGGTTGGAAAAGGAGCCAGCGCATCCGCCGCTCCTGGGGAAGAGACCGTTTCCAAGCGGCTGCCGGGGGCTGGGCTTTTGGAAAGCCCCCGGGCATGGCTGCTTTTTTTCATGAAGGCGAATTCATGTAGATAGTTAAGATTACCGCCACAGGCGGCTATGGACAGATGCCGATATGAATCTATCCATCATTTGAACGCAACCTCAACTGTGCACCCGCTGCGTGACAAACGTGATCAGTACCCATCCTTGAACACGAGTTTGAACAAATATGAATGATGCCACTGAAGATTTCTTGTAAATGAATTAATCTGTATTCGAGGTCAAAGTCTTCACGGAAATGTTGTAGTAAACTCTGAATTGCCGAAATTGGCAAGTGGGCGATGTCTACGCCGGCAGACCGGGACGGAGTCCAAGAAGCCTTCGGTGTCCGCGCCGGGGGTGGTCCGTCACCCTTCTCCGCATAAATGCCCCGAGAGGTCGGTGCTCGGGGGAAAGATCCCCTGAAGAAAGGCGGTGGGGGGAGCACTATCCAACAACGTCAGAAAAGGGGGGGGGGGGGGGACCCGGCAGTGGGGCACTAGGGCGTCAGGACAAGGGTGTGTGTGTCGCTGTTGCAACCCCGCGATGTCAAAGAAATAGGTGCGGGGACTCCACGTCTCTTTCTGTCTCTCCTCTCTCATCTTCTCCTGGCCTAGCTCGAGCGTTCTCCTACAACAAACGACGCTGGACTTTTCGTCTTCAGCCTCACTCTTGGCCCATTCGTCTCAGACGCAAAATATCAATTGAATCACCAGAAAGCAGCCAACCTCCCATAAAACCGAACCGGCACGCAGCCCCCCCCCTCCAAAGCATTCCCAAAAGCCCACCATGGCCGCCGACTACCCCATCATCGACTCCCACATCCACCTCTACCCAGAGCAGGAAATCGAGACCCTCGCCTGGGCGACCCCCGAAAACCCCCTCGCGAAGCAGCACTCGGTCGAAGACTACGTCGCCGCCACCGGCTCCCCCGCAAACCTCAAGGGCTTCATCTTCCTCGAGACAGACCGCAAACACGACCTCGAAGCCGGCGCCCGCGATGCGTCCGGCTGGGAGTTCCCCCTGATGGAGGTCTCCTGGCTCCGCCGCATCGCCGAGGGCAAACCGCGCGACGGCGAGGGTCACGGCCCCGACCACGCCAGCCTCTGTCTGGGCATCGTCCCCTGGGCCCCTCTACCCTCCGGCGCCGCCGCCATGGAGAAGTACCTCGACCACGTCAAGACTGTTGCGGGCGACGCCGTCTGGCCGAAGATTCGCGGGTTCCGGTATCTGTTACAGGATAAGCCGCACGGCGCGGGGTTGACGGACGATTTCATCGACAGCTTGAAGCTTCTGGGCAAGAGGGGCTTCGTCTTTGATATGGGCGTCGACCAGCACCGCCGCGGCAACAAGCAGCTCGACGAGGCGTTGGAGATTATCTCGCGCGCTCACGAGGGTGTTCCGGAGGAGGAGAAGGTCACCTTTGTCATCAGTCGGTCCTCCCCCTTCCCTGTCTCTAGTATCTCCCATGCCCTTCATTCAAAGAACCAGGAGCTAACAAACACACCCCGACCAGACCACCTCTGCAAACCCGACCTCGGTATCATAAACACAACAGACCCCTCCTTCGTCCACTGGCGCACCGCAATCTACGCCCTCTCCAAATGCTCAAACACCTACATGAAGCTCTCGGGCGGCTTCTCCGAGATGCCCGACTCCCTCAAGAAGCAGGACCCCAACGCAATCTTCGAGGCAATCTTCCCCTGGCTCGGCGTCGTCCTCGCCACCTTTGGCACCCGCCGCACAATGTTCGGCTCCGACTGGCCCGTCTGCACCGTCGGCGTCGACGAGGCCTGGCGCAAGTGGAAGCTGCTTGTCGAGCGCACCTGCTACATGGCTACCCTCGAGCCAGAGGACCAGGCGGCCCTGTTTGGCGGTACCGCGATCAAGGCGTATGGTATTGAAGGGCTTTGATGTTTTCTCTTTTGTTGTTTGACGCGGTCGATGATTGTGATTTGAGTATGGTGGGTGGGCTTGCAGATCGGGGCATTGTGAGAGAGAATGAAATCGCTGGATTTGCAGCGTCTAGAGATTACATCGCCAGTTTGTACCCGATGATTCAACATTGGGGCGCGCAGGTATGGGATATGATGACGGCGATCGATATATTACGACTTTGCACACAGATACCACAAAAACAAATACGTGCTTTTTCCCTTCCCTATAACGAACATGTCAAAAAAGACCCAAAATGGTAAAAGAGTTCACCCCCCCGGTGCTGAACTGGGGGCTACATCTCTGGTGCTCATGCTGGGATTCGAACTCGGGTACTCGTATGCGCTGAGCCTGTCGTCGAGTAGGCTGGTTGGCGATTTGATTGTTGACCATTAACCATTCCACCACCCACGCCACAGTTTGACCTGACCCGTCGACCTAGACGGGCGCCTGCTGTGCTGGTGACGGAATTGGACTTGGAGGGGTATATGAAGGCTTGCTGCGTATTCGGGTGGTAGGCAGAAAAGGTATCGGATGAAAAGGTCCGCGATGTGGCTGGGTGAACCAGAGGAAGGAAGGTGCGTGAGTTGGTGGTGGCTGCCCTGGCAGCCGTCGAGGTTCCCGGCATTTACTTTTCTGGCCTTGTGAAGCAGACAAGAAACTCACTCCTAGGCACGATTATAAGCGATAACGCACTTGTATTGAATGCAGACAATCCGAGTTGACTTATGAGCTCGGTGCTAGTTGCTCCAAGCTTTCTTGCCTCGCTCAACCTCCCATATCCTCGATCTCAGCCCTTCAAGAATGATTGAAGGGCCCCCAAAAACACGTAATCCTACTCTTCAAGTCCCTACCCTTGTATAAATCTACACCCTTGCCATCCTCCAACGATTGATATGAAAATATCTCGTCGTACAAATACAGGCCAGAATTGATTTGAGAGAGCCACCCTTCGCTAGCTATTTTGAATCTCCCCCTTCCACCCATGTATGCCATGTTCCCCATGGCCAACCCTTTGAGATGGCTTAGACCACAGCTCACTCCTGGAATCAGCCAGGAATAGGCCGAAGTGCCCTCTTGGCCTGTCTCGCCTTGCATTCAAGAGCATAGCCGGGCTCGTTTGCCTTGCGCCACTCGATGTATGCCTCGTAACTCTGCTGGCCAACTGTATCAGGGACTCGCGGCTTGGCAGCACATCTGGGCGCCATGTCAGGACCGAACACAGGAGCATTTGCGTTCAATAAAGACCTGTGATGAGGTACCGGTGCTTGTGTTGTCGGAAACGGAGTTGTCCAAGGCCCGACAATAGGCACTACCGGACTGTTGGCCATCTGTCGGACAAAACCAATGGCTGGAGCAACGCGGCTTGTTTCAGAACCATGAGCAGATTGGGGTAGAGTAGACCGAGTCGGATTGAACGGTGACCTGAGGGGTAGCAGAGGGGGGGCTGTTGCTTTGTTTGTAAATGATGGTGTAAAACCTGGAGCAGATGGATCGAATGGTGCGGCAGGTATTTGAGTTGAGAAGTCTAGTGGAGGTCTGACAATGTTGTTCTGTGGACCAAAAGCTGGACTAAGAGATACTGGAGGAGGTTGTTGGAAAAGTGACGGATGCAATGTTGGTCTCGGCACGGAGGGGGGCAAATTGAATGGTGGAAAAGCCTGCGTTCCTTGGATGCCAAACTTTGCGATTGTGTTGGCAATAATCTCGTTTGGATCTTGTCCAGGAGCTTTGCTGGAGGTTTGGCTTACTAGTTGCTCCAGAAGAGAGATGATGGTTTTCCTGTCCCTCTCTTCAGCCTTGTCTGGTGTGACTGAAGATGTCTGAGGAGCGAAGGTGGAAAACTCCCTTGCTAGTGGGTTAAGAGTTCGAGCCTTGGCCGGTCCTCTGGTATCAATACCAGAATCCTCGGAAACTTGTCTTGGGCGAGCATCGCCATTTCTGGAGACATGGTATTTTGACTGTTCGCCTTGCAAAGGTCGCTGGAGTTTTCGCAGAAGCCCCTGAAAGCGATCATCTTGGTTGTGTTCGGAACCGCTGTCTGTTGGCTTGGTATCCCGGAAACCAATGTCAATAATGGCTGGGTCGTGAATGACGGCCGAGTCACTCAAAATTTGATCTTTCCGTAGGTCTGTAGAATGGTTCTTGTTGCCCAAGTCGTCGCTCTCTTCGTGCTTGCAAGGGCGTAGAAGATTTGCCATGGAAGACTTCCGAGGTGTGATCCTGGTATCCTCCAACTGCTTATTGAAGTCGACAAGACTATCGCTCTGCATGTGCGACTTGAAACGATTCGCATTTCTAATGCTGCGTATCTCTGCGTTGTTGAACATGCCGTTGTGTTCCTTGCAATTGAGGTCGGTGCATTCGTGGATAAAAACGTCCAAGACCAAGGAGTCAGGACCCTGCTTCTAGGAGGAGTTCTTGCTCTGACTACTCGGAACAGGTACGGCATTGACCACGGCACACTTCTTCGCGCGACCGATCATGATCTTTCCCTTTGTTGAGGCATTACTGTTGTCTCTGGATATGGGATCGGTCGCGGTTTGAAAGGGGGAAACGCCAGCCACGGGCTTCCGCCAGTGGGTAGCCGACTCAGCTATGTCGTTGGAGTCGGTTTCAGCACTCGAATTTGTTCTTCGTCTTCGACGCATGCTGAGTTGTGGTTTATTATGATCGTGAGGAAGCAACGGCCTACGCCAATTGGCAGAGGCCAATGCCACCTCTGCCTTCTCCATGTCTCTGCCATGTTTGTTAGTGACACATTCTAACCCGAAAGGAAGAAGAAATACTGAGGCATACGAAAGAGTAGATGCTCTAGGTTGGCTGGAAGTGTCGAAAATGGTGGATTGGAATAGCGGTGTTCTCGACGAAATTCCAGGCCGAAGAAGGACAATAGAGCCGGAATTGTCAGAGGAGGCTATGACGACAGGCGTAATGAACCCAAAGTGAGGTGAAGAGAGATCTTCGCTGATGTAAAAAACATGCGCTGAGGCTCTTAAGTCTGCGATGATGTGTCCAAAATTGGAGAGCTGAGGTGGTGGGTGTGATGTTGACGAATGATGGAGATGTTGGCGGTATGTTGGCGGGAAACAAACGCGCCGAGGTCGTATATGCTTGTCGACGCATTGCCCGGAGAATTTGCTCCGTGTGGTGGCAGATGAGGAAAGAAAGGGGAACATTGGGATCGTCGTGAGGAAACAGCAGGCTGCATGTTCTCGTCCTCGCTGCCGGGAAGGCCTGACCAAGAGCAACCACTCTAGCGTATAGTGATTGTGGAAGATGTACAGTTTGCAGGTATCTGACGTGAGTCGGGCAAGAACCAAGTCAAGAACCACCATCACCTTGATGTCGTTGTTGAAATACTCTCGCAAGCCTTAGTTAAGTCTAATATCATACTGCATCATGGCCATTGTTGAAAGAACGCTGGAAGAAAACACACGTCAATAAAGAGGGATAGGATATCAATTTTAACACGCTAGATGTCGTAGAAAATTCGGAAACATTGCCAACTTGTGATGAACCCAGATAGAGTAAGGTATGCAAACAAAACATCGGCCAGTACATTCGTCATGCCTAGCCTCATCCATTGCATTACATGCCTTGATTCGCTTGTCCAGACAAGTAAGCACTGAAATGTTTCTGTGGTCCATAATGTCAGCGTAATTCGACGACAGCACATTCAGTTGACAGAAACCTACCGCATTCCTCGTCTGCATGAAGACAGTTCCTGGGCCGGTAAATTTACACACCAGGCCCTCGCCAGAGGAGAGACCAGAGATGATACCACCGGATGCGACTCGTTCCATAATGTACTTCACATTCCATGCCACCAAGTGACCATTATCAACAACGTACTTTTCGCCTTCCATGAGCTGGATAAAAGTTTAGCCCTCACATCACTTATAAGGTCGTACCCAGGGCACTTACATCTTTGCGGATAATGGCACCGAAACTGGTCAGCCAAAGCAGCCCGGTACCGCTAATCTTGTACACATACAAGCCCTCGCCACTGAAAATAGCCTTGCTGAGGCCCTGACGCTTGTAGTCCTTGATCACGCCCTGCGTAGAAGCAAGCCAGGCGTCTTGGCCAACCGACCACGTCTCCTTGCCCGTGAGACGCAGACTAGTGATATCACCAAGCATAGGCGGCGCCAGGAGAAGCTCGCCGGGTCCCACGTAGGTCGAGCTCGCCAGCTCAGCGCCGGCCACGAGCTTCTTCATGCTAAACTTGATCTGGCCCCTGAGTGTGATGGAATGCGACATGGCGACCATGACACCGGGCTTCGCTTGCAGCGGGCACCCCATGGCGAGCTGGACGGTCAGGATGGTGTTGCTGTCGCGGTGGCTGATGCGGTAGCTGCCTCCGTTGAAGGTGCCGACGTCGTCGACGGTCGCGGTGGCGCCGATGAAGTGCTGGGGCGGGGGCGCGCCTCCCACGAGGTTGGACGGGTTGCTCGTGTCGACTGGTGCTTCCTCCACGTGCTGCTTCTCTGGCAGGCTGGAGGCCTCGGGCGGTCCGTCGAAGGCGGGAGGCGGAGGGGAGAACTGAGGCTGGGAGTCGGGGGTGCCTGGTTGCCGTAGGGGAAGCTGCGTCTGTTGGTGCTGCTGGTGCTGAGGAGAGGGCTGCGGCGACTGCTGAAGGGGTGATTGATACTGCTGCTGCTGCTGGGAAAGACCGGGAGGTGGCGGGTATTGCGCCTGATTCTGCGAGGGCGTCGTGGTGCCTTGGGGAGGAGGCGGGTACGTCCTCCCCTGACTCGGCGATGCCTGCGGCGGAGGAGGGTAGCTCGCGCCATGTCCTGGCGACTGAGGAGGAGGCGGATAGTTCTGAGTCGTACTCGACTGAGGAGGAGGTGGGTAGTTATTGTTGTTGCTGCTGTGTTGTCCGGCAGCTTGGGGCGGAGGAGGGTAGTTTTGCGACTGCCCTTGCGAAGGCTGAGGCGGTGGTGGATAGCTCCCGCTATGGCTGCGCTGAGGTTGTGAGGGAGGAGCAGGGTACGAGAACTTTGTCTGGTTCGCGGGAGGGGATTGCGGCGGCGGGGGATAGTTTTGCTGCGCTGTGATTTTGATTGTCTTGTCAGCGCTTTCATCCGGGGACACTGCTTTCGCTCAATTGGACAACGTACCTCCCGACGGAGGAGCTGGAAGTGGTGGTCAGCACGAGTTTCGTTGCCTTGCTGTATGGCGGGGTGAGAGTGAAGAACTTACGTGGATAATATTGGGAAGACATGATCTCTCGTTAGACGTCGCGTCTCCTCGGTGGCGTAGGTTTCGTGAATATTATTGCGAGAAGAAGCCGACTCGAATCGAAAGACAAGACGAGGTGAGTGGAATCGAGAGAAAAGAATGGTGAGTTGATCTGGCAGCAGGTCAGTCGGACGCCAAGCTGGTCGCATCCCACCTCATGGGCATCGCCATCGCCATCGCCTGCCCCGCACTTACAGTTTGTCACCCAACAGCCCAATTGCAGAGCGTCGTGATACAGTCAGCTTCAAGTCTCACGAACAGCAAGTCCTTTATCGCTTTGTCTTTGAGTCGCCGAAGCTTCCGAGATGAATGTTCAAAGCACCAAGAAGCAAGAGAAAGAAAACAATTGTCGCGCCAAAAAAGACAATGGGCGCCTCGGGGTTCTGGGTCATTAAAGAGGGAGCTTCCCACGCGCCAGAGCAATCCCGGCAAGCTTGCTGAGCTGCAGGAAGAAGCTCCGCCAGAAACCCCACCCCCTGTCATGGCCATGAAATGTGGCCGCATCGCCGCCACCTGCACCCCCAGCTTCCCGTTGGCCTGCATGGGAATAAGTGTGGTAGCTGTGGTAAAGTGGTAGGGCAGTTGTATTGGTGAGCTTTCGATGTTGGACCGTCGTCCAATCGTTTGGGGCTTGCCCAGCGCGATGGAGAGAGTCTCTAACTCTTTTCGGCGTCAGGTGAAGAGGGGCGGCGCTTAGAGACGTCCAACGGCGACTCGCCCTACCATTGGTCCTTTGCCTCTATACCTATTCCATTTCTCGGGAATCTCATGCCGCTCTCTGAGCCTCAAGAACTTTGTCAAATTTGCGTGTCCAAGGGGATGAACCACTTCCTTTGAGCTTTTGATAGATGTCGTTTCTTGCAGACATTGTAGATGGGCTTGACTACACTAAAGACCACAAACCTGAGGTAGGTACTTACCAGTACTTCGGCACATGGAGTTGAGGCGTTGCCAAGTTATGCTCGAGAGATTCCTTCAGAAGCGCTTGTGAGACCTGCAGAAGAGCAATGAAATACAAAATCTAAGTTTGGCTTGTGACAGAGCTGAGCGGAACACGAAGTGGAATGGCGCCCGGCCAATGGAGCAACACCGGACCGGCCATATCGGCCGTCTAATGTGGGGCCGATTCCAGCAGCGGACTGCGAGTGACATTTCGGACTGCGAACGAGCAGAGGGAATAACATTCAGAGAGATAACGCAGATAGATCATTGGATTTCTTTTCTTTCCTCTTCATTCGTTTCCTTCGTGATTCCCACAATGCCTACCTAACGCCGTTGGTCCCATGCTTTTTTTTTTCTTCTCTTTTGTCTACACCCAGTCTCCCCTTTCCATTTAGAAAGCCATCTTCTCGTGCTTGAACGGCTTCTGGCCCTCTCCCTCACCGTACGCCAACGAAACCTGACCCTGGCCGCGAATCTTGTACTTGTAAATCATGAGGCCCTCAAGCCCGACGGGTCCGCGCGAGTGGATCTTGTTGGTGCTGATGCCGACCTCGGTGCCGAAGCCGTACCGCATGCCGTCCGCCATGCGCGTCGACGCGTTCCAGTACACGCCCGCGGCGTCGACGGCCGCCATGAAGCGCTCGGCCTCGTCGGACGACGAGGTGAGGATGCACTCGGTGTGCTTGGACCCGTGGGCGTGGATGTGCTGCACCGCCTCCTCGAGCGACGAGACGACCTTGACGGCGAGGTCGAGGGAGAGAAACTCGGTGTCGTAGTCTACGTCCTTGGCATCGACGATCTTCGAGGCCGCGTCGCCAGAGATCTTGGACTGGACAGCGGCCTTGGACTTGGCGTCGCAGTGCAGCGTGACGCCGGCCGCGACTAGCGCCTCCGCGGCGGCGGGAAAGACGGAGTCGAGGGCGGATTCCTGGACGAGCAGGGTCTCGACGCTGTTGCAGGCGGCCGGGTAGCTCGTCTTGGAGTCGACGAGGACCTTGGCCGCCATCTCGGCGTCGGCGGAGTCTGTCAGGTAAATAGAGCAGAGGCCGTCAGCATGGCCGAGGACGGGGATCTTTGTCGACTCTTTGATGTAACGCACGAGCTCGTTGGAGCCGCGGGGGACGACGAGGTCGATGGAGTCGTCGAGGGCGAGGAGCTGGGGGATGACGTCGCGGGTGGTGACGAGCTGGACGGCCGGGTTGGGCACCTGAGACTTGTCGAGGGCGGCGGAGATGACTTTTGAGATTGCGATGAAGGACTCCGTGGATTCCTTGCCGCCCTTGAGAATGGCGGCGTTGCCTGACTTGATGGCCAGGGAGGCGATGTTGGCGATGACCTCGGGGCGGGCCTCGAAGATGATGAGGAGGACGCCGATGGGGCAGGTGACTCTCTCCAGGACGAGGCCGTCGTCCAGCTTGGTTCTGAGTGTGACTTTGCCAACTACATTGAGAGTCAGAATACTGAATGACTGTTGTGCTTGTGAGTTGGGGTAAAGTGAGTGAGTACATACCTGGGTCCTCGAGACCTCTCACGTCCAAGATACCCTTGAGCATATCCTCAAACTTGCCCTTCTTGCCTAGGTCCAGGCGGGACACGAGACTCTGACTCAGTTGACCATCGGCGGCGGCTTTGCGAGCGAGCTCCAGGTCGCGCGCATTGGCGGCCAGAATGTCGTCCTTTGCCTCGGCGAGAGCGGCGTGGATGGCCGTGAGGGCATCGTTGCGGGCTTCGGCAGGGAGGGTCGCGAGGATGTGAGAGGCCGATTTCGCACCCTTTGCGGCATCGACGGGGGAGGCGTTGGTGAGGGACATGGTGAGGGGATGGGTTTCCTGTCCAATGAAGTTGTGTGTAGTAGTTTGACACTCTCAACTAGAGTAAAAGTAAAAGTGCAAGACTTATCGACTTGTCTACACTTACAAGCTCAGGTGAGTTCGGTATGAGTCAATTGGCGGCTCGATACAGCTGGGCCTGTAATTAGACTGAGGTGGTTCATGGTGCGGTGCGCCACTCGGCGGGCAGCATGTCTGGCCATGAAAATTTGGAGAGCCCCGCACTCGGAGGGGCAGAGGTGGTGAGTGAGACTGGACTGGGCACAGAGGTTAATAGTAAAGGTTGTTTAATTGAGTTGAAGCGACTCTACCAGACTCCAATAGCACATGGATAAACTTAATTCAGCAACCTTATTGTCCCAGAGGCAGAAATTCAAGTCTCTTTCAACTACACACTTATCTTAGTATGAACCTCTTCGTTCAATATGGTAATGACTACTCACCTCTTTTCGGCAGCTCAATTCTCGGTCTTGTAATTGGCTCACCCATTGGAACAGGGATCAAAAGTCTTGTTCCTGACCCGCTCTCTTGGTTGCCCTGGGAAATGTCACTATCACTATCCGTGCCCCGAACATTCTTGGATTTTTGTTCTCTCTTGGTCTTGATGCAACATTGAGTCACTTCTCTCGAAATGTCTGAAGTTCAGGCTCGGTTTCTATAAACAGTTGAATACAATGCCACCTTACTCCGTACTGGCAACTACCAACAAGCTCGAGTCATGGATGGCTGGCAACCATCTCCTACACTGTCGGACATTCCGCGACAGTCCCCCTCCAAGCCGAGGTACATTGAGGCAACGTCAGCCATTGTCGAATCTTTCAGGTTTGCCCCGTTCTCAACAACCTGGCTCACTGCGCGGTTCATCCGCCCTTCATCTCACCTCCCTGTGTGTGAAGAACCTTCTACTTTTAGGTGTTCCTTCACCCACGACGGGATACTGCCCAGGCATGCGGGCGACCGCGACTTGGGTATATGGTATGCACTCCGCGAAAACCAGGCCTGGACAGTCTCCTCCGACCCTCTCAGAGACATCAGGGATCCATTCCGCGGCGGGAGCTACCCGTTCCGCCTGATAAGAAATAGACCCTCGATAAGAAGTGAGCCGAAAAGATTCGGGGCATGCCCCATTTAGCTCAATGAACCACATCCCCCCATTGCCGATGGACGCCTTTCGCGCCTTTGACTAAGCGGTAACAAGCCGGAAACAGGGCCAAAGACGGCAATACTTAACGGCCAGTGCCGATCTTCCTACCTTTTCGATGGGAATTGGGGGATTGTCTTCTCAAGTTCTCATAGTCGCAAGTGCTCCATTCGATCACTCCGCTAAACGAGGGAGAAGCATCATACTACCAAAGCTCGCCATAACTGCTACTAATCCACCATACAGGACAAACACCGCCGAGGCATCTTACGCTCACCTCGCGCTCGAAACATCGGCTACCCACAGCCGAGCGCGGTGTCGATCCACTCCACTGCGGAGCGGTAGCGGTAGCGGTAGCCGAGAAGCACGTTTCTGGGTTGAAGACGGCTAGCCGCCATCATGGACACACGACCAGCCCTGGATGGGTGTGGTGTGGGGTGGGAAAGCCGGACAACACCCGATTCATAATACGGCCCAGGTCCCCGGCAAATTTCCTTGTCGTCATTTTTTCTTCTTGTGACGGTTGATCCTCTACCATCTTTCTTTCTATTGTTTTACTTGCTTGGCTTTACGGAGTCTTGAAGATCAAGTGACGAGACTTTACTTTCCCCTCCCTTTCTCTGTCATACCAAGGCGGTTTTGTTGGATCGCCGTGTGAGCTTTTCCGTCTGGCATTGAGTTCTCGCGCCCTTCACCTGTCGTATCCACATCGGCACCGAGTCGGCGAAAAAGACTCATCAAGAGAGGAAGAAAGATGACCACCACATCACACGATCCGGAAAAGGATTCTTTTCCGCCGGAAGAAACCAAAAACCCAGGCCGTGGTGAGGAACAGAGCAGCAGTAGCCAATCGAGCGACAGCGAAGATGAGATTACAGAAATTGGCCGGAGGAACGGAGACCGGTCCCGCAAGTCTGCCGTGGCCGATGCCGATGCCGACTCGGAGGGGGACGGGGAGGTGGAGGGAGAGGATGGGGACCCATCAGCAGCCGGCAACGCCCCGGCGAGAACGCGGTCCCGGGCCTCGTCCACCCGCTCCCGAGCCTTTTCCATCGTCGCCCGGTCTAAACGGCGCGGGTTTCTCGCACAGCTCACCACCATCCCGGAAGTGGATAACCCGTATCATTACACCAACAAGACGAAATGGACAATCACTTTGATCATCGCTCTCGCCGCGGCCGTCTCACCCATGGGCTCGTCCATCTTCTATCGTGAGTACTACCTTTCATGTATCTTACCTTTCAATCTCAGGTATACTCACAAACGAAAGCCGCCCTCACCGAAATGTCCAAAGAATTCGGCGTCACCCCCACAATCACCAACCTCTCGGTAGCATTCTACATGCTCGCCATGGCAATCTTCCCCCTCTGGTGGTCCTCCTTCTCCGAGACCCTCGGCCGCCGCACAATCTACCTCCTCTCCTTCACCCTCTTCGTCCTCTTCTCCATCCTCTCCGCCGTCAGCGTGAACATTGAGATGCTCATCGTCATGCGCCTCCTCGCCGGCGGCGCCAGCGCCAGCGTCCAGGCCGTCGGCGCGGGAACCATCGCCGACATCTGGGAGCCGCGCGAGCGCGGCCGGGCCATGAGCATCTTCTACCTCGGGCCCCTCACGGGCCCCTTGCTCGCGCCCATCATCGGCGGCGCGCTGGCGCAGCGGTTCGGGTGGCAGTCGACCATGTGGACGCTCGCCATCTACGGCGGGCTCGTCCTCGTCATGATCCTGTTCTGTCTGCCCGAGACCCTCGCGCGTCCCAGACCTGTGGCAGTACCGCAGCAGTCTCAACTCGTATCAGAAGGCACAGAAAAGAACGCCCTCGCCCGGACAAAAACAACGGAATCCGTAAAAGTCCACTCCAAAAAAGCAGCCGCCTTCTTCAAAAAGTCCTTCATCGACCCCCTCTCCGTCCTCTTGTACCTCCGCTTCCCGCCCGTCGCCATAACAGTCTGGTTCGCCGCCGTCACCTTCGGCGCCCTCTTTGTCGTAAACATCTCGGTCCAGGCCACCTTGTCCCAAGCCCCCTACGGCTTCAGCGAGCTCATCATCGGCCTCTTCTACTTCCCCGCCGGCCTGGGCTACTTCCTCGCTTCCCTTCTGGGAGGCCGCTGGCTCGACGTCATCATGGCGAGGGAGGCCCGTAAGGCGGGGCGGTACGACGCCGACGGGAAATTGATCCTGCTGCCGGAGGACAGGATGCGCGAGAACATCTGGATCGCGGCGACGGTGTACCCGGCTTCGCTCATCTACTACGGCTGGGTGGTGGAAAAGGGCCTGTTTTGGTTTGTGCCGTGTATCGGTCTGTTCACATTTGGCGCCAGCTCGATGCTCGTGTTGTGAGTCCTTTTCTTGTTCTTCCTTCTCTCTCACTAATGATATCTGGTTCTTTTGACTTTCTCCATCTTATCTCATCCGGCTCAGGCTAACATTCAACCACCAGTGGCGCCGCCACGACCATGCTAACCGAATTCATGCCCAAACGGAGCTCGGGAGGCGTGGCGGTCAACAACTTTGTCAGAAACATTTTCAGTTGCATTGGTGCGATTGCCGCGCAGCCCGTTATCAACGCCATCGGCAATGGTTGGCTCTTTACGATACTGGGCATCTTTGCCTGGGTGTCGGGCTATATCTGCGTCTGGACCCTCAGGAAGAAGGCTCCCGAGTGGAGGAAGAGCATGGACGCGGCGTTGAATAAATGACGAGATTTACGATTTATTATCTAGCGTCCCTTGAAGTCGCATTCAAATGATTAAATGACGATAGTGGACAAGCAGTTATAGAGGTTTGAAATAATAAATTTTGGTTACTTGAAATTGTATATGCTTCTAGAGAGACGAGCCAGTATCACACCGCCTCTCTCTACCATGTCCTTGCGCCCGCAGCTTATCATCACTCCCTTTGTCTACCATCCCCCTCTCTCCCCTCTCACGCCAATCACCACACCACCACCACCACCACCACTCATCAAGAATCCGCCTGCAGAACGGTGTTCACCCCCCTCTCAGCACAATACTTGGCAACCTCCTTCCTCAGCGTCGTCTTCTGCCGCGCAACAAGGTCCATCACATCCCTCATCTCCTCGCCCAAATCCCACTCCCCCTTGGCACCGCCAACAGCCCCGTACAGATCCTCCATCTCCACCAAAATCGCCTCGAGCTGGTTCGGCAACCACGTGACGATGGGACTGCCGCCCGTGGCCGTCGGGTGCGACGTGCGCTTGAGGATGTACTCGCGCGCGAAGCACCAGTGCCGCCAGCGGAAGTCGCGCACCTGGTGCAGGATATGCAGCCACAGGCGGCGGGACTCCTTGACGGCCTCCTTCTCCTCGGCGCCTAGGCCGTCGGCGGAGAGCTTGGTGGAGAGCGCGGCGTCCTTGAGGCCGACCTCGAGGGAGCGGTCTTTGACGTGCATGAGGAACTGGCGGTGGTTGCTGGGGCGGTAGGACCTGAAGTCCTTGAGGATCTCGGTGAGCGGGGTGTCGGGCATGGGCACCTGCAACAAATTGTCCATGAGGGGTACGATGGAGTCGTTGGCGCCCGACTCGCCGCGGAAAGACATGGGCTTGCCGTCGTTTACGCCCTCGTAGACGACGCCGTTGGGGAACATGGATTGGCTGGTGATGCCGAAGATGAAGGTGCGGAAGCTGGTGTAGCTCTGCGGGCGGGACTTGTCCCACATGGTCTCCATCGTGTTGTTGATCTTGCGGAGGGCGGCGAGGACCTCGGACAGGCCCTGGTTGAGGGCGGCGCGGTCCAGAGAGGGGACGGGGGAGGTGGTGGGCACGGAGGAGCGGAGGGCGGCCATTGTGCCCTTTACGAGGGGCCCCGTGTTCTTGACCATGTCG